ATATCACTATAGGTCAACAAAAAAAAAACGTCCGCGACTTGCATGCCCGTTAGAAAAATTCAAGCGATATTATCGCGTGTTTCAAATTTGATTCTCACCATTGGGACCTCTGAAACGGTAAGAGATACGAAGTTCGTTAAATAGAAGTAAGCCTCATTTAGGTTAGGTAGCTAAGAACATGACGCATAGAAAGTTTCGCAATTCCGAGTATTTCGTGACATAAACGAAAGAAACCGAATTTTCCCAAAATCGTTATTTTTTATTGTAATAGCGAAAATTTTCGAAAATGAGATATTGTGTTAGGGATTGAAGGGGGTGGCGGAGGGTAAATTTCAATTTTATGACGTTAGTATATTTCTACGCCTTCAACACCACTAATCAAAGATGTCCCCGTACATTTACCCTTAAAACTTGGAAGTATCCCCTACAGTCGGGTGTAGATACGTACGACTTGGTCCCCGGGATGGACAAGCGTCGTCGTCGGTGGTTGTACGTCACAGTCGGCAATCGCTTCCGCACTGTTGTGGTGCTGTGGGCTGGGTTGTACGCACTATGCATGGTGAAGGCCAATATTGTCTTTCACGAGGGATTGGTCATCGCAACGATCCTGTGCGCCTACAGCAATTCCTCTCAGGGGTGAAGGAGTCATTTGATTTTTTCTTATGCATATTCGCAGCTAACTTTTTTCTAAGAATGGCCAAGTTGTGCCAAACAATCCTTTACGAACTGATGACAGCGTTGGGTGGGAAGTACAGAGTCATCTTACTTGACGCCATTTTTCCTGGCTGGATTTGAGATGAAACCTCAAAGTAGAAAGTAGATCAACATTTCTACCTTTTCTCCCCTATAAGATGGCATAATAAGAATTTCTTCATAACGTTTCGTCTCTTGCCTTCAATCACCAACTTTATTTTTTCTTATAAAGGCCATATTGGATTTTTGCACAGGTGAATAGAATCACTAATTCTGATTCCAAAAATGTACAATTGACATTGTCAAACCTCAGATATTTCTAAAAAACTAATAATGTCATAGTTGGCTGTTTAGGAAGATGATAGAGGCATTCACTTACTCAAAAATAATATTTTTTTCAATGTATTCAATACGACCTTTAAATAATCTAAAAGGAATATTACTTCTTACTTCCCATTGCAAACCTTATGTTCCACTATACAAAAAAAAATCACTACTTTTTTGTTATTATTAATCTGTACACGATACATAATAGATTTCCGGATGATTCTTACGCACTGTATTTTGACCAGAATAGCAGCTTCCAAAATGGTGATAAGAAACCTTTATAAGCAGAATTTCGTGTGAAGTTTGAGAATGTCAGTTTAACGGTTAAACTTCCCCAATATGGTAGCAATATTTGTTCCTGACTGATATCTAAATATTGATTGCTAAGGAAAATAAACGTTATGATAGTCATTATTTAAATGGGTGATAGAGTGGGTTAAAAGAAGCAAAAAGTTTCATATAACATGGGGGTCAAAACGGCATTTTTTTAGAGAAAAGCGACTTTAAACTAAAATAAAATCTGACGCCGCAATGTACAGTAACCTGTCTTCCACGAGTGCGAATATTAGTGAGCTGAACACTTCCTGTATCTCGAAGTCCTTGGTACACTTGCACAAATGTCCTTCTGTCTGGGTGTACCCGTTGGTGAAATCTGTCGCGATAAATTTGAGCTGCAAGACTTGAATTCTGACGAGCTTCACCGTAAACTAACAACATGTCGGCGAACTCTTGATTCGAGAAAATTGTAAATAAACACGACGACGTACGCGAACAATAACTAACCACTGTTACCTTTTGCGATCGATTGCCGGTTCGATAAGAGTGATGAATGTCCGACGCGCTGTTGTCATATGTGTTTTAAATACTCGTATTTAATTTAATGAAACTTACTTACTATATTTTGGCTTAACTTAGAAAAACTTGATTCCATTTATTTGTTAATTACTCAATTTAAAAAAGTTTTAGATTAGATTATAAAAATTAGTAAGATTGTGGATATAAAGCACTTAATGTTGTAAACTATAAAGCCATTTAGACAAAAATCTATTGACTTTTGGACCATGGGTCATATGAACTTTTTGACTTGTTTTGACCCCCCTATTACCCATTTCAATAATGACTACACCCTGTATAGGTAGGAAATTGTGATTGAACTTTCACAGCATTATATTTTATATCCTCGACATTGAGACGCATGTAAATTTCAGCCTCAAGCTTTTTTGTATCAATGTATAAGACTTTAAGCGCTTTGTTTCCCAGATGCTAAGGATGAAAGTTATAAAAGGTAATGTAGTATAAAGATATTCGGAATTCACTTGTGTGTCATTTGTCTTACAAATAGCATAACATCAACAATAAAACAATTGAATGCGTTTAAATATGTTTATTGTTCATTCGATGAGTTCCCCTAAGGAAATGCGCTATGAAGAGGAAGTAATTCAAGGTCACATTTTGTCTAGATAACATCCTACGGTAATATAGTCATACGAAATCAAAACAAGTGTATATATAGAATAACTGCTTCTTGCTAGCTACCACAAAATACTATATTGAAAGAACTTCTATGGTGATGCGGTTTCTAGTTCTTTTCGGTGAACTAGTTCAAAAGGTCGCATTCGCTAAAACGAACTATTCCACTCAAGAATAGAACATAATGCGTTATCATTCCAGTGAAAGCATAGCTTTTCATCCAGAACTAAGCAGCTTCGGGCGCAGTACTTGGATGGGTGACCGCTTCAGACCACCACATTGTTGGCTTTTTAAGGTTTTTCATTTGACTTCCCACGCCTATTGACGGAGAAGTATTGTTATCGTTATTGTTGTCTGCCTGTCTGTCTGCCTTACACAATGTTACTAGTATGCCAAAGACGCAAAGGCTTTGTAGTTTTTGGAAATCGGTCTAGTGGAAGCAGAGAAAGAAAATCGGCTCACCGGCGAAAGTGAAAAAGGCCTAAAACGGAAAAAGTAACTTCGTTTTTTGACGGTGCAGAGGATCCTGGTTATTTTAGAAAAAAATCGGAGAGGAAAAAATTTGGGAGAGGGGGTAATTTTTTGATGCTGGTACATTTGTACGCTCCAAAAAACTGATAATTCTACGCACCTATTATGCACTGTCCGTGATGCGTATTCTGGTATGGAATCACACGTATTTCTACCGAGCAACAGCATAGTGTTTTCTATGCTCTGACCGCTCTATCACGGTGCCACGTCTTCTCGAGTTAAGTATCGCGGAGAAGCGAAATAATTAATTACAGTTCCCTTATACTGTAGGAAGTTACGCTACTGTGTAGTGTTGTATATGCTTTGGCAAGAGTCTGAAACAGACTATATCAATCAAAGAACTCAAGAGCTCGATAAGCAGCAAGAAGATTTTGCAAACTTTGGACATCAGGCATTGACAGAGATGTTAATTTTTGTCAGGTAGTATATATTTATTTCGTCTGGGAATGTAGTTATCCTATAGATGCAAATTCATTATACTATACAGCTACTGTAACAAATTCAGCATACAATAAATTTACCTGCTGACTAAGCGACCTTCAATGAAAGTTTGATAACGTTCCATGGTATCACATTACCGATAAGTGCACGTATATTAAAACTAAGCAGCTGCAGATCATTATATGCACAGGTAATAATCCAAAAAGCACGAATGCATAGTCTTTCCCTCACTTAAGGCCTCCTTGTTGTGTGGGCGCCTTATTTGCCTTGTATTGACAGTCTTGACACATGCGAGGACCAGTAGGGTTATTAAATATATTTCTCAACGAAGAAGACGGACTTATTGTCTTACGTAGTAGTCAACTTCACGACTTGCTTATTTCGCTATACTTTCTGCAGAGAACGCAGGCACCTACCCATTTTGACTTTCCACGTCACTGGCGCGGAAATATTGTAGCCGCGAAAAATTTCGAAAAAAGATATTTTGTTTTTTGGATGTTACATTTATATCACGAAAAACGATGTCACTCATTGCAGTCGGTCTGTCTGAAAAATAGTTTTTGAAAACGAAAAAAAATTGCTCAAGTTTCTTTATTTGATGTTTCAAAGGCCCCTGATCATTTCCAGAAAATGTCCCCTACGGGTTAAAAATTGGGAGTTGAGGAGGGTATATGCTTTCCGGTAGTATATTTATAGGCTTCCAACGGCTACGTATATCTAGATATTCACGAAATCCTGTCTGCGCCTGACCGCTCAAGGCTGGCGCCGCTTCATGGCATGGCTGACTGATGTGGTTCAGCAATGTTGCCAGATTGTCGATTATATCGGTAGGGCAGGGAAGAAATTTCTAGATCACATCATTATCAAATGGGTGTGAAGCATAGTTCGTGACAAGTGCATTTTTCTACTCATATATTATGTCTGTAGAAAATGCATTCCGCGACATGCATTAAATTGATCAATAATTGATAACCAGAGGTAATAAGAAAGTCTCAGATATTTGATAGCTTTCCTCTCACTTCAAAGTGATGTACAAATGTGTCCTCAAAATAAGAAGGCCTCAATAAACGGCTATACATCGACCCCAGATTTTGACATTTCATATTCAAAAGTGCAAAGAAATACTAAATCATCCATTTATCATAAGAAAAATCATAAAAACTACTGGTATATTGTTATTGAGCTCAGAGCACAGACGGTTTTTACATGGTCTGGTGTCTCTACGCAAAATATTTTTAGAAGCACGTTCACTGTAAGCTATGTACTACTTACTGAAAATAATAGATATTGTAACCTACTTTCTGTAAAAACAGAACATTTTAAGTACCTACTATATATTGTTACTTGAGGCTGCAAGAAACATTTTTGATAAAATTGCCTTATAAAATCTAGAACAACTACAACGGTACGCGAATATTTAAATACTGCAGGTAATATTTTTTAAATGAATTTATTAAAAGTGAACAAAAAATAAAATTTTGATAAAACATTTCAAGATCTACATTATGCCTGTTTAGAAAAGTGCTATGAGCGCTTACCTAATATATGTGGGACGAAATCGTCACAATTTCAATCGCGATGCCGTCAAACAAATAAAAAACCGTCGAAGATTGAAAAATTCGACTTTTGTCAAAAAAACGTCCACACACGAAATAGCTGTCAACAGCCCTAATACTCGCTCCGGATAAAAAAAACTGGTGAAGGAATGAACACCAGGAAGGTCGAATACTACCTCAAAAATGTATCCGAGTTCACCTGCCTTTCGTACAATAAAAATTACGAGTTCAAACGATCTCCGGACAAGCAATAACCTCAAAATCGGGTAAAAACCCCAGCTATTGTTGCACTGTCAGAGACAGCTGTTGGTCACGTGACTATCAACGCACAACGCCAGATGAGCAGGCGAGCAGCAAGTTAGGATGGTAGCCGAATTTTCTGGTGGATTATTGGGGACATTCACCTTTAGTTAATACCTTTGTGTGTAGGGGGCGCCAGGAATCAAGCAGTTTATGTAGAGATGGGAACGAGTATTTTTGAGCACCCGTTACTGGAGTTTGTTCGCATTAAGCCGCTCCCACACGATTTGGCGAATGCCTTACAACGTTGGACACATGGCAATTCGCCACATCGTGTGGGAGAGCGCTGACGGATTGCATGTGTCCAACGTTCGCCACATGGCACGTTCGGGTTCTTGTCGGTAAATTTGACCCGCGTCAAAGGACGTTGCAACGTTGAAAGCATGGTTCGTTACGCTCCCACACGAGATGTCATGTGTTTGATGGTTTTAGGTCAGAATCAGTAGCGGCGACAGACATTATTTATATGTTTGCTGTGATTGTGGTATGTGGGAAGTATTTTGATTTGAATACGTACCTATTCCTAATAATGTATCTTCCGTAACTAACTTTTGAGAAGAATGAATTAAATTAGTATACATTCAAAACATAGGCTGTCATAACAGCACTTTTTTCATATTGCTAATATTTTGTACGTTTCGCTGGTGAGTTCTAAGGATATGTATTTTAGTAAATTATAAATTATCAAGAGCTTACAGTTGTTTCATTATAATGTCCTGTTGCATGCAAGACTAGTTGAGAAATATATTGACTTGTATTTCATGACTAACGAAAAAGATTAAAAAAATGATAACTCTGAAAGTACTATCACGATTTTGATGAAATGTTGACCCTAGGTTATACTACTATGAAAATGAAAAAGCTCTTCAGTTTTTGAAAATCGGTACAGTGGCGGTGGAGCTATCGTTGAAAAACTAACAAAAAACGGTCAAACTTCGTTTTTCGACATTTTTGAGGCTTCTAACAGACTTAAGTCTTGATCGTTGAGGACAGATCTGAAATTATTTTTCGGCGCTCGAAAAAATTGTTTCATCGTTTATTTTGTATAATTTTTCCTTCAGTTGTAAACGTTCAAGAGCGACACTGACAATAGCCGTTGGCACCACCATGCGTCGAACGTCCCAGACTAAAAAGTTCATCCCATCGTGTGGGAGACACACTTGTCAATTGTGGGGTGTCGAACGTTGTATACAACGCTGGAAGCATCGTGTGGGATGCGCATTAGGAAAGGCATAATTTATCCGACCAAGCTCCGGACAGAGGAACAGATTTTCACGGTAACAATTTGCTTGGTAGGGTCACCATTTTTGTTTATGGTAGTTTATAACAAAAAATGGGGTCAAGTAGGTTGACTTTGCACTTCCTATGCAACACTCACATCAGACCATAAGGGATTATGTTCGGCACAAGTTAAATCCTCTGATAAAAAGTTAGCTACGAACATGTATCACAGAGAACAATTAAACAGGCCTATATACAATTGGTCCACATACATCCACTTTCCCTACGAGGTAGTACCGTCCATCTCCCCAATACCTGTCCGATGAGTCAGACGCAGCATTAACTCCAGGACACTTACAAAGCTGGACATGTCCGCACGTGAATCCAGATACTAGAAGCAGGGGGACGCGTATCGCAGGGAAACTACTTGTTTGTCCTTGGCATAGTAGTAACCTGGTGTGAAAATTTCATCCAAATCTGAGTAGCACTTTGCAAGTTATAGACAGGCCAAATATTATTAGCCGGCAGACATATCGACATTGAAATATTCATTAATATCCTAGACCAAAGTGACGATGATATATCACACCTTCATACCCACAATTATCTTTTCTTTTAACAAGATAGGTGATTCACAAGCCATCATTTGAACTCCCTTTTAGAACACAAATCTAACATGGGCAAAAAGTTGTATGAACGCGGACTTTCCACATTGACAAAAATGATATAATATTGCTGTCCTGGTGTAACAATTACCTTGCTAGACCTGAATTGCGCGCCCCCGCCAGAGGTATTTGGGGCACATAATTCGAATGCGGCCGTTAAAAAATCTTAGGACCTTTAAAGAAAGGAATGTGTCGCTTAGGACTCCTCGTGGTTTCCAGCTTTAGGCTCACGTCTGATTCAGAATCTACAAGATTTGCCCAGAAAGTGGTACATTATGATAGCGACAATTACTATTTATATCTGGCACCGCGTAGTTTGAAACCTTAAGTACCGGGTATTGTCTGGCCGACACATCACTAGCTTCCAAGCTACATATTAAGCAGTGTTGTCTCTTTTATCTCACTGTTTCTAGAGATGGGCTATCTTTGGAATTGAAAAATTTGTGGGGAAGGGTGGATATTACGGGAAAACAAATGGAGAGCAATTTTATGTTAAACATTTATTTGTAGATTGTATTCAATCATATTATTTCTTAGCAGCAATCTCATCTTCTTTCTGATAATTCTCAAGAACTTCCTGCTTCTTGCTGGCAATTCTCTCCAATCTCCTCTCTTTAGCCTGTTTGACTTTCATTCTTCTAGCAGTAGCTTGGTCTTGCAGCATCTTTGCACGCGCTTTTTCTGCTTTCTTCTTATGAATGTACTCCATCAAGACTCTCTTGTTCTTGAAAACATTACCTTTTGCTTTCATGTAAAGTGCATGATACAGATGCCTGTCAATTTTCTTGGCTTCACGGTACTTTTTTAGTAGTCTTCTGAGTACTCTCATGCGTTGTGTCCATAGTTCCTACAAAAATCAGAAAATGTTTATAGCAACATTGATCAACATATTCTAAATACATTGATAGCAATCACAAACTATCTTAAGGCACTTTTAAGTGGACATTTTTTCTGATATACCTTCCTAGGTGTTCGAGCATTAGCAGTACCCTTCCTTTTTCCAAAGCCACAATGTCTTCCCTTCTTCCTAGCCTCAGTGTTCTTGCGTACTCTAGCTCTTGAATGGACTGCTACTGGTTTTTTAATGATGAGACCATCCTTGATCAATTTACGGATATTTTGTCCTGGAAAATCACAAATATCCCTCATAAAGTATTTTCCAATTCATTAGGTATAGGTATATTAGGTAAAAATGATTAAAACCTATAATTATATATGTGTCATCAGACTTTTCAGCCTACTATTGTAGTGATGATGATAATAATAATGTGTAAAACTTGAAACACATTTGTGACACAATTGCTATATCATGATTCTCAAAACTTTTACATTCACTTCCACTCTATGAGTTTACTGTCCTGTTTCCAGTCTTCTTGATTGGTACATAATCTAGGTTGCCATGGGCAAGGTGACAATTGAAAAATCAAAAGGTCCGAGTAAAGATAACATGGCCACGCAAGACACCTGTTGAAATGTATTCTAGTAGATTCTAGAAGACTATCCGTAGAAATGTTTGCGGAAATCGTTGCACAACTCTTAAAAAAATGCAAATGAAAATTGGAAAATTGCCACTTTGACATTGTAGATAACTCCGTCGGTACCCCCGGAATAGACATCCGTCTTGACAGATAACCTTGTCATTCTTGTCACCTGGATTGGGGCGTTGCCAGCTCATCGGACGATTTTGCTACCTCTGTTATTTTGATAGAATGTTATAAAAAAAAGAAGTCTTGAATAAAATATTGAGCAATACCAATGGAGATATATAAAATTTGAGGCGTAGCAATGTTAATGTCTCTGAAATTTTTTACACGCCCAGTTTTGTAGGAAAAAATAATTTTTGAATACAATGTTTTATTATATAAACACATTTATTAACTATTTGGTCTAAATCTATATGATCATTAATAGGAGAATTACGATTTTCATTTTACTCTACTATTTATTAGTATCTGTCTTATACGCAGAGATATTAGGCATTTATTTTGAGGAAGCTGAAAACGGACAGCTTGATAACTTGAATTCAACTTATAACTCGTCGATCATGTGGAATTATAGGCAGACGCATTTTGGACGCATCACATCCCTACTCTTGTTGGACATTTGGTGCCCCTGTATCCTCCAAAAACCAAGGTAAGACATTGTAGTTTCCTAAACACGGGGCTGAGATTCCAGGTTTGAAAACGCCAGAGAATCAACGCTTGATTTTTTTCACTATATTTAGTGAACATAGTGCCCCAAGGGCTTAGTGTCAAAGCATGATACTGTCAGATATAGACTATCACTAATTCCTTGGACTAAAAATAGTATTTTGTTCGACCCTTTGCTAACAGTTTTGAGATTTTTCAGAAATGAATGTAAGTACATAAGAATACTTAAAAGAACGTTAGATTAGTGTACGTTTCAGTGAATTTCTTTTTATTACAGGGTGGCCAAGATAAGGATCAGACTAGGTTAAATTCAGTAATCAAACAATCTTACATCAAGCATTTGTTTGTAATGCCTACTTAAATAAAGTGAAAAAAATAAAAAAAAAACAGGTTTGTGTATAACTTGAAAAAAAAACAAATGTAACGTGATACATCGTTGAAGTCGTAGAAAAAGATGCTATTAGAAACAGGGTCGTACTTTTTCAAATTTTGTGTACTTCGGGCACATTCAAAAACACCATCATGTAGTGCCATGATGTTTTTTTGACATTTCTTAAAATAAACAAAAATAAAAACGATTTGAACAAATTTTAGTTTTTCCCAAATTCCTCAGTATATGACTAATATCTCAGTGTATGCAATGTGCGCAATTTATTTAAAAAACATAGGATGTCAATCCTTAACACACGAGTAGTTGAGTATGCAAGGCACATGCATCCTGTTTCCCTCAGAAGAGTTGGAAGCAGACCTAATTTCCACTTTGGAGATGCTTGACACCCACATCACAACACTAAAACACCACTGAGAGACAATCGAGAACCCTATAGTGGACACCACTATTAAAAAATAGCTTAACCGAACAGAGCTCTGCCCGCAGCTGTGAACGCGTGGACATTCCGCTGCGCCGACGGTTGCCGAAAGACTGAAGCGTGTGAGTGCTGTACCTTGCTGCGGCAATACAGTATGGAGCGGTAGTACAGTCAGGCCCCTTTCCAGCTCCCACTCTGCGAGTGCGCTCCAGTCAACGAGTCGCTTCGTGATACTGTCAGATAAGAAAACACAGACGCGCGTTCACACCTTCGTGTAGAGCTCTATTCCGTTTGGCTACTTTTTTTTGTAGTGCTGTTCACTATAGGGTTCTCGATTGTGGTGCTTTAGTGCTGTGACGTGGGTGTCAAGTGTTAATTTTAATAACATCCTATAGTAGACGACAACGATATTGTATTCGCTTACATTTTTTGCCGATAGCCATAAAACGGCTATAAAACCGAGAACCCCGAGGCATGAGGAGTGAGACGGATCTGAAAATTTTCAAACATTTTCTCTTGCAAGTCGGGACGAGATGAGAGCTGACTGAATCAAGTTGTTGAAGTAACCTTGATTGCTATTGTAATTAATTATGTAGGCATTAGTTTTCATCCTATTAACCAAAATATACATATGTATATGATGGTAGAGATGTCAAAGATGTAAAGTTACTTATCTAATTTGCTATGTTGAGGAGCCTTTTTCCGGAAACACGCACTTCAAAATCATTCTACCTAAATACATATTTCATTTCACTTTCACACTTTACTTCTTTACTTAAACAATGTGCTACAAAACTTAATCCTGTTCTTCCGAAGAATATGTTCTCAAGTGTTGCTCAGGTTCAGGTGTTCATAGCGCAGTCACATTATGTGAACTTGTTGCTATGACAGAATCGAAATAGTGCGATTTTTCAGATTCGCTACATTCAAACCATCATTTAAGTGAGGTCAGACTTGTGGAACAACTTAATTTTTCTTCAGCTGATACAATTAATCATAGCAGTAACGGTTGAGGTATTCTAGGGGTTTTCGTCGCCCAAGTGCGAATGTAGTCACTAAAACACCATATTCCCTTAATAAAGAGCAGAGAAAATGAAAATCGTACTTCTCCTATTAATGATCATGTAATTTTAGATCAAATAGTTAATAAATATATTTATATGATAAAGCACTGTTTTTTCCAAGTCAAAAAGTATTTTATCCTATAAAACTGGGCATTTATAGAAATGTTCAGAGACATTAATGTTTCGCCGCATAGACGCCAGGTGAAGCAAAATGTAAATAACAGCTTTTTTTTGTTTTTGGCAAACATTGCTACACCTCAAATTTTATAGATCTCCATTGGTATCCCTCAATATTTTATCCCAAGCTTCTTTTTTATATCATTCTAGCAAAATAACAGAGGTAGCAAAATTGTCCTATGAGCTAGCAACGCCACAATCTAGGTGACAAGATCGTATGTCTATCCTGGGGTAACGACAGAGTCATTTAGTACCTCAAAGCGGCAGTTTTACAATCTTCATTTGTATTTTTCAAGAGGTGTGCAATGATATCAAGGAAAATTTTGCTACTGATAGTCTTCTAGAGTCTAGTAGAGTATATTTCAATAGTTGTCTTATCTTTACTTGGGCCAATAAAAATGAATGAGGCACAAGCCTCCTAGGATGAAAATATTCAAATAGGCAATTCTCTAGTTTAACTAAACTGACCTTTTTTGCTTCTCCCTCGGAATAGGTACTAGGTTGTAAATGATTGATACGAGATTGAAAATGCCCGCAAATGGGTTAGTTGAAGAATATTGTTGGTATTATCTGAGTTTCAAAAGGTATAAACACCTTCTTAATCAGGACATTTGCAGAATGGAAGGTATCATATATACCGCGATGTTGCCAAATTGAAGAAATATATGAAAATTAAGGAAAATACGCATTTCCACGAGTAGCAGTTCTCCTTTTAATCTAGAATTTGATCCCACTCGAGTCGCTAGTGCATTAGACATTATGAATTGTTGTGTGAAGTCATAGGTACAAATTTAATTATTAAGAATATCCATCAACATGAAAACCTACTAAGTAATGAAATCTGGCAACATCGCACAGTCTTTGAAAACAAACATTCAATATATAGTAAAATATTTCAGAACTTTCATGTTTGCGCTCATTTCGAGGCCCATTTCTTTCATCTACACCAAAAAACCAGGGTCTAAAATCATTTTTCATCAAAAGCGGCTGGAGTAGTTAAGCTAGAGAATTATCTTCAAAAAGATTTTGTCTCTATGGCATTACTAAAAGACACTGCACAATCGCATGAAATTTACGCCGAGTCATTTGCTACGGGTATGAAATCGGAGGTACTTACTGGAATTACTGTTTGCAATTTCGTTTACTTCATTTGGATCCAGCCAAACTTTTTTCTTCCCGCATCGCATAACAGAGGCTGCTAGCCTCTTTTGCAGTTTCAATGAACTGAAAAATCAAAAATCATCTTAACAATCGAAATTATAAATGTTGTGAAAAAGACTTCAATATGTCTGCCAGACCATGTGGTACAAATTGGTTATGAACTGTTTGATGAAAATAGTTGGAATTACGTATGATATATTGTAACGTTGAATATTCACCTCATGATTCCTTAAATGATAGGTCCGGAAATACAAGATAAAAGGTTTTTATATGAAAAATAAAAACTCTTCACAAAATGACCACCAGCTACTTTCTTTACCGCTTGACGTTTGTCTAGTATGTCAACGTCAACGTTGATATGACGTAACAGGAAGTTCGTTCCTCATTAACATTCTTGGGCATAGGAACTTGCTTACAGAATTTCTATCAAGCTATTCCATTTCAGAGCAGATACTTAGTGAATCTATATAACGGTTTTGTGAGTTCGTTAATAAATTTATTAACGATTTTATGTTCACCAGAGGTTCACACATATTTCTATAAAAATCAATTAAAAGACCTGTTCATCTATTTTACTAAACCTCTTGTTGCGGAACGCATTCCGAAGAATAAAGCGCTAACATTTGAATGTTACATCGAATTTTCAATAATAACGTGATAGTGGTGAATGCTAGGACCCCATTTAGCGCTATTGAATACAGAGCGCTTTGCTAATATTACGGTACGGTTGTTAAAAACTACAATGCATTAATAGTATCCCAAAAAAAGGACGTGAACAGGGGCATTCAGTCGATTGGAGCAGTTACCCATGATGCATTTAAAACTTAATGCAACATTGCCACGTTTCATTTATTTTTTCTGCATTATTTGTAATTCAGAACAGTCAGAATAGATGAGCTTGCGAAAAATGCCGATAGAAAAGTGGACATTTTTTGAATACCTAGGATAGGAAGTTTTTAAAACATGTTTTGTATATTGCGAACATCGCAAAAATCGTAACTCATAGTCGTAGGTCTATCGGGAATAATCTGCCCATTTATAGCTCATTTTGTCACTGCTCTAGTTTTAAGTACATTTTGCCGGAAGGTTACTATTGTGCCAGTGACGGAGGGTTTTGAAGGTTTCGAAAACCACTGAATTGAAGGCGAAGTTATTGACGAAAAACAATAAAAACAAGGGGCAGATCTAAAAGGTATTTTGGGTTCATACGATGAGTTTGAAATTACCCGTTTCAAAAAGTTTTGGGTAGTAGGCTCAGGATTCATGTTTCATGTTCAAGATGTCCGTCTCGGAGAGGGAGGGGCTAGGGACTCAAAATTGGAAAACGCGTTGGAAATTTTTTTAAACTTGGATATTTCGGAGCTCCATGACGCCTCCAAACTAAATGCGAGTACTAAACTCGTAGATGTGTATAATTTTTTTGTAGAAAAGGTACTCAGTCCCTCTACTTGACTTTTTCAGAATAAGTACCCATAAAAAAGTAGTAAAATTTGGGTATAATTTTGCTACATGTGGCAACGCTGAATGGGAGTGAAGAGTGAAGTCTGGTAAAAGCTCAGAGTGCGTTGTACGTCTATCTCTTTACTGTGGGATGAGGTGAAAATAATAAATTCACTGAGAAAATTAAACTTGTAAAGGTACTTCGAACTTAAATTCATCCACAGATATGTGAATTGTGTCACAGAATCCACGAAAAAGCAGTGTTTAGTGATGATAGTGGTGACGTAGTCTCCATTGTACCTGTGTTCCCGTGCCTCGACCTTGCAAGGCCCAAATGAAAAACATGAAAGGTTCGTTGTAGCGCCCTTTACTACGGTTTTATCGATGGAACTCTTTCGCTACGGCTATGCGAATTTCTGTGAACATGCTGTTCAGAATCTGGCGTGAATAGGGAAGGAATCTTAGAGAAGTTCCTAACAAAAATGTAAACACTTGTAGCCCCGCCCCATAATACAAGCGGGGTCTGTTATTTTTGATAAATAAATGTAATTAATCAATTTTTAGTTCATAAGGGGTGAGTTTGTTGCTTCATGTTTTTTTATCGTATTGCCGGCGATAATAGTAGAATAGAGTTTAAGCCGGTGTTAACCTATTTAAATTTTCTCTCGTGATACCTGACATATATAATGTCATTTATCAGATTTTAAATAATTAGATGTCTTGTTAATCAGGGTCGTTAATTAGATGAACGTATAACTATGTCGCTAAAGTTTTAATAGGGTCTTAGAATGCTGAAATTGCAATTTGGCTTTCTGTTGTGGGCTCACTACTCTTATTAGACTGTCATGGGTATGGCATACCTACACTTTGCTTCCAATCATAGCAGGGTACCAATTCTTAATGAATTTCGTTTTTTTTGGATGTTGTATGACATGTGCATCATGAAACATGATGTCTCTCCATCTGTTTGGTATAACCTCTTCTCTGAGAGATACAGATTTTTTGAAATTTTTCTACAAGTGCTTAAGCATTGCAGATTAGGGGTTCTTTCATTTTTAATGTGTACATGGCAGTCTGATATGTAATTAATTCACTATAGATTTAATGAATTAATCTAATTAGAGGCAAAACTTTGATCTGCATTTTTTCAGTTTCTGTTGATTTTCAAGCATATTCAAGAAACATTTTTTGAGGTGACCAAAAATTATAAATCCTCGACTTTGTGTTGCGTGTTCAAGCTTATTGTTACCTGGGAGGATTACAATTTGTCAATTGAGACATTGATATAATTTAATGCATCAAGCTCCGAGTCAATCTGCTTGACTGTTTTACATTGTCATTGTTTTTATTGTGCTATCAAATTTGGGTCAACACTGAATAATTTTATTTGTTTTATAACACTTTTCTTCACAGCTCTAGTTTTAAATTCACATGCATCTTACAAAAATATGATTTTTTAATTACTTTATTTTAACCTGTTGATGAGATCTTTTATAAGATTTTTTTGAATGAGGCATTTGTTTTATATTCCAATGAATAGTCCAGAGACCACCATAATTTAAGTGTGTCCCATGGTATCATTCTTCCATTGTGTATATTCACATTTCTCTTCACCATAATTTTCATGATTTTTAGGAAATCAGTCTCCTCAAGAACAAAAATAATGCAGTTTAATACTCATGTTACATTCTAAATGTTTTAACTTAGACATCATATTATTAACTAATTGTAAATACTTTCTAAATGTATATTTTCCACAAATAAGAAACACTGCTGTGTGATTTTTTAATGATAAGTGGTTAATCTACTAGGTGAAACTGACTTAATATGCATTATCACCCTAGATGCAGGTAGTTTGATAAACTAGAGCTGTTACATAAACTCGAAAGTGATTTTTGGAATAAGCACATCAGGATAAATTAAAAGTAATAGTAAGATTCTCAGAAAATTTTATGAAGTATATATTTGTCCTGCTTTATAATCTATTCTGTATAACATCAATACACAGCACTTTTCAGAAAGGTCACCCCTACTGATTTGTTGAATGGGTTTATCTGAATTTGCAATAAGAATATAAGGCATTCAGGTAAAAAAATGATATATTTTGACAATGTTCTTAAATCCACAGTTTTTGAGTAAAAGTTTTGATACTTTGTTGATAGAGTAATCAATATAGATTCATGTAGGACACAGTAATGATTATTAACTAATTATAAATAACTTAAATAAATATTATTCCTAGATAGATAAACTATAAATATACAGTTTAACAGCATTATCTCAAAACTTGGAATTTGTCATATTTTATTACATATTTGGATAGACTATTGTTATAACATACTTTTGATGATTGTTTGTTGAGTTATAAGTGTTGTAGTTCTACAGAAAAAATTTTTTTTTATAGCCTGCCCGGTCGAGATTTTCAAAGCTGGTGACTATATTCTATGCTTATAACAATCTTCAACATGTCAACATGACCCCCCATTTCATTTAAAAAATGTTCAAAAGTGGTGCCCAGCCATCATTTAAAATTTTCAACTGGCACTTTTATTCTTATAATTAGTATTCATGCAACAATTTCATTGCCCCAAATTTCAGCTTCCTGACTTGACCTATTCAAAAAATAAGTAAGAGGGAGGGATGTTTTTGAAAAGTACTGTATACCTAAAAGACTAAAATAAAACCCAGTATATTTTATTATCTAAGTCAATATTTTTTATATTATTATCACATTAGTCAACATAATTAATTTCCTAGAATGGTATAAAGTAAAATAAGCATTTTATCATGATACTCAAAATTAAATAAATTGAGAATTGTGTAGTAATTGTTTTGGAAGATTAGGTAAGGTGACTTCAAATTTTTTATGCTCACTAAGACATTTTTCACTTCTCCCAAAAAGTATCGACAACTGAAGTTTGGCTTCTATTAGATAAGGGATTTTGACGAAACTCAAAATACGCGATTTTCAGGGCCTCAAACCTTTTTTGTTATTGTAGTAAAAATTTCATTAAAATCCAAGCAGTATTTTCACAGTTGTGAAGAATCCAACAATAGCTAGACAGATATATGAAAATGTTGGCTTGGAAAGTTATAACTATACTTGTAAATGTTTCTTAAAAAAATTGTTACAGGTATCAGATCTATAGAGGGTCCTCGTAAAATCACGGACATCTGTCTTCATCTACGATAGATTTTCAATGATAGGTTTCTGAAGGTGAATATATTGCTACTTTTTTCATTGAATACCTGAAATAAATCATTTAACACCCTAACCACATAGAAATAACATTTGATGTTCACCATAATGCACTCTTAGGTATTTCAAATGAAATTATAGATAAGGTGATGAAGTAGTTATCCAATATTAATTAGGAAAATGCCTATGTATTCATACAGAGTGTTTCAAATTTGGTTTTCATCATTGAAATCTCGTCAATGGAAAAACTTATGAGATTAGTTAACCTGGAGTGAAATTGCGCATTTGCAATTACTAATACAATGAGACATAAAGTATATTACACAGTTGGAGCATCAGTGGAAGTATAAATGGCAACAGTGGCTTGGTACTGTCAGCCTAGCAAGATTTGTAATATTCAAGGAGTGTTTCTATTACAAGTTATTATTCACATGTTATGAGGAAAAAATGTGTAGAGTGCGGCATTTCTATTTGAACAAGGTACACAGTATGTGCCCAGTAGAATCATACCTACATGGTAACATATTGTAAACCATTTGAAAATACAGGGTATTATCTAATTAATTTTTGGTAACTCTTATAGCCCATTTTCTTTTTCTCACTATTTACACGTTGTGCTTGATGCTTAGTACACCTACCAATTCTGGAAATCTCCTTGTTGTATTTACACTGAAAATCACTGTACTTTCATTTGAAACCCACAACCTGCTTAAGACTAATACTATATGTTGCATGTTATATCCCAGGACTTAAAGTTTAACAGCTTCAAACATGTCTGCTAGTCAACTATTGGATTCATGTGTGTAAGTATCTCCATTAACCCATTTCCTTTACTTGTTTCACTGTACTAAACACGATGAGGAATGTTTGGAAGTTAAGGGAATTTGCACTAATAAGTAATTTTTTCGTAGCGGTACTAGCAATCCACAGGGGCCCTCCTAGCTTACGTCACGCATTTGTGGAGATTTTCGATTCAGATGAGGCATGCTCTCCTCTTATCCATCCTTCTATCCTTTGCCTTCTGGCCGCAAGATATCCGTCGTAATTGATGGGTTCTCCTCTTCATCGTCCAACGTGAACGGGGGTGTTGCCCAGGGATCGGTCTTGTATCTCTTACATGTCGACGACCTTCCTTTTTGTACTGTCAGTCCAAAGCTTTGCTGGTGACAGCGCTCTTCATGCAGGACAAAAAGATCTCTGCTTGTGAGCTGGAGAAGACGAGCAGCGATTACCTCTCTGACGAGGGACCTGGAGGTTATCACTCCTGGGGCGCAATCTGGTACAGTTTAATGCTTCCAACACTATCGATGCTCGATGCTGGTCAGAGGAGGGCCGTCCGACTCTTCTCTAACGGACAGCCTCGGAATCCTTCCGCAGTGGCGGACCGTCGGCGATCTAGCTCTCTTCTACCGCTACTCCAACGGGCTTTGCTGACTTCAGTCTCCCATCCTAACCGTGCCGAACTTCTTACATCCAGAACTGGCCGATACGACCGCTCCTTTTTCCCTAGGGTATCGAGATTCTGGAACAATCTACATGAGAAGTATTTTCCTAGTTCTACTAATCTTCGGTTTAACAACGTTTCTTTAAGCTCCTCATAGCAGCCGCGGTGTCCTGGCGTTTAGGCTTCTGCCTGCGCGGCTGCTTCTGTGTAAAAAAAGACATAGGAATCACGCCTACTATAAGGCCGCGGTTATACTTCAAGGAGACAGGCGAAGGGTGGTGATTAGTTTAGTAGGCTGCATGTGACAGGTGATGATCCATTTATGCTCTTCACAGTGTCGAGTGACGGCTGCGGGTTGCAGACCGAAAAGAAAGCAAATCAGAATGCCCTTACAGTAAATATTGCCGTGCGTGGTTGCCAGATGGATTTGTTAGAATAAAAGCTATTATACTAGCGCAGTGCTGTTTACAGTTTATTTCACGAGTATCCATTACGTTTTGACGTCTACTGGAGTGAACAGCTGATCAGCAAGTGACATCTTTGTATTAGTCTGTAACGTCGGCAATAATGAATCGGGTAGAACGCGGGACCGTATTCAGAACTATTGTTCACATATCCTACGAATTACACAAAAATTATTTTAGCCCATCTGGGATTGATCACGAGGTTCCTCAATAGAACATCAGTCGGCGTTGTCATTTCCAGTAGCTGTAATTTTAAATGTAAAAAGTACGAGTAGACACGTGTTTCTGGTTAATCGTTGTAACTTAATTCAAATAGCGCTATCAGCTTCCAGGCGACATTTGGCCATGCCTGAATTCTCTATCAATTCGGTCATATACTGCCACATATTTTGAATTAATTGTATGGCTGTTTCATTGCCCTTTAAAATCAGATGGTGGCCAAGTATAGATGATCAACATAGTTATAAACTGAGTATCGTTTTTTATTCTTACCTGACTTGAAATGTCGTCATGATCATTAGCAGCCAGGTTGCTTGTGGCGTTTTTTTTGTATGCGAACTATGAAAGAGTTTTCAGCAAGTACAAAATTAATCCGTAGCGTACAAAAAACCACAATAAATATGGCTCTGTAAACCATGAGTTGACGGATACGCCAGAATTGTGTGTCACTTGTCGATATGGGGAATTGTGAAATATCACTTGATAATCAGCTGTTATCCTACCGTAATGGATACTCGTGAACAAGATAGTGTTGTGGAAAATCCAACAACTTCTCAAGTAAATTTTGTAGCGAGAATGTATGTAAGATACATTTGCTATTTTCACTTGACTCCTAGAGACACCTGTAGGACAGAAGTAAAGAATAGATTTGCATACAGTGCTTTTTGAATTCAATTTTTTTAACGGGTCAATTTAGTATGTGGAAATTCGAGGCGACGGAATTTATACCAGTATATTTTGGCAGCTCACAGACGGCTAGTGTGTCAGTCGCGGCATTTTTGAGTCCTCTGTCATGTGTTTATTTCATTGAAAGCTAGCACGGTATGCTAAAAAAAAGAATAAATTATTACATTTTGATTTGAATGTGAAAACCTTTACCAAAGTGTGACTGATTACTGTGAAAAACATGTACCAGATGAATCGACAAACATACAGTAATGGACAAAAGTATATAGACAAATTAATATTGTGCTGTATTTCTTTTTAAACTTGTTTTATTAATACACCAACCTGTATACATAATTTGTTATAGCATAATACTCACTTATACATAAATAAATCCATTAGACTCCCTTCAATAAAAAATTAATTGAAAAAAACTGGAACTATCAAGGACAAAAATATATAGACAAAGCAGAACAATTATAGAAAAAAGAAGCAAAGTTCATTGAATTAAAGAAAACCAACCATGTTTGTGTTAATATTTTGTAGCATAACCATTATTAACAATCACTGCCTGGCATCGTCCCGGCATAGATTGTAGAAGTTTCTTGATATAAGATTCATCAATCTATCTACACTTTTGCTCTAAAGCGGCAAAAAGTTCATCCTTGTTTGAATAATTTTTATCTCGTATTTGCTTATCTAAGTGTTCCCATAGATTTTCAATGGGGTTTATATCGGGAGACTGTGAAGGCCCTTGAGAACTGGTATTTTTTCATCCAGAAAGAATTTCTTTGCGAGATTTGAAGTGTGCTTCGGGTCATTATCTTGCTGGAAGATTGATCTTAAGGGCATTTTGTCTTCCATATAGCGTAACATGACATGCTTTAGTATATCTGTGTATACAAACTTATCCATAATGCCATCTATTCTATGTAAAGTTCCCATCCCAAACCCCGAAAAGCACCCCCAAACCATAACAGACCCGTCTCCATGTTTGACAATGGGCAAAGTGTACTTGGGGTTCAATCTGTGTCCACTAGGACGTCTAACGTTATGAACACCATCTGATCCAAACATATTGAACTTGGATTCGTCACTGAAACATACCCTCTTCCAGTCACAGATGCTCCAATCAAGATGCAACCGTGCAAATTGTAATCGGTCCTTACGGTTTTTCCTCGGGATTAGCGGCTTCTTACTCTGGCGACGTGCAAATAACTTCAAATCATTTAATCTTCTACTTATAGTTTTCGTAGAAACACTGACAATTCCTTTTGTCTCGATTTTGGTTTTTATTTGTCTTGAGGTTTTAAACGGACCTTTGGACGAAATTACTTTTATTAATCTAACGGATCTAGCATTTAGTTTTCTAGGCTGACCACTTCTCTTAGAGGCTTCCAAGATACCTTTTTGATTATACTTGTTCAATATTGCCCAAACTGCTTTACGCTTCAGCTTCAAATTTTTGGCAATGTCGACTTGACGTTGACCATCTTTGTATAACTCAATGATCTTAGTTTTCACATCGAAAGAAATTTCTGGACCACGCGGCATGGTCTTAAAATCACTCAACTTATTCCACAATACTTGATGAACACAAACTAATCATGTTCTGACACGAAACTGTACTAAACTAATTTTGTAAAGAATTTGTCTACATATTTTTGTCCCTCATAAAAAAGTGCTTATATTCAGACTTGTATAGTGTTCATTGTAGATAATGTAAATACAAGGAATTTAGTTTTTCTGCTAATAACGTATTTGTTTATGGAGTAATGAAGTATGAATTCGTTTTCTAAAGGTATTTAGGTAAATATTCATATTTGTCTATATACTTTTGTCCATTACTGTAGCTTATTTAATGCTCTTTTAAAAATATTATCTTTTATTTGTAGTATTGGAATTATTCAGTTTTTAGTATTAATAACCTACAAATGTTATACTATTTTTAAAAGAACATTACATAGCTAGTTTTTAAGATCATTTGCTGATTCAGTCTGGTACATTTTTTCCACAGTTATAAGTCAAACTTTAGTAAACGTTTTGGAATTGAAACCAAATGTAATAGTTCAGTTTTTTTAGCATACCGTGCTAGTTTTCAATGAAAAGAATACTAGGTTATCTCAACCAACTATTATTGGTAGCCCAAGAAAAAAAATCGTAAATTAGAAGTTCTTTACAGCCATAACAGGCAAAAAGGAGCAAAAAGTAGTGATTTTTTGGAAAAACTTGAAATTGGCAATATCTCGATAACTAGAAAACTTTTGCTATGCTCACGTTGATTTTATCTGATTGATCTGAAGCAAATCTACTTCAAGTTTCACTCTGGGGTGTTACTTCTGTATAACGGCAATGTATTCTGTCTATAATGACATGCTTCATGAAATTGTATTGGCGAAACGTCAAAATATAAATAAAAAATGTGTATAATACTAAAATTATCATGCAACATCAGCAACAAACAAAAAGCTAGGCGAATATTCCAAGTGTTCAAAAACATTTGTCACCGAGTGACGCCATACGCAAAGGGGTACAAAATTCTTCGGTCATATTTTCTATGTCACATATTCTTCCAACAGTATATATTATCATACGAGCTACAACCCACATAATGGGCTAACGAGTTGTGGGTAGATGTAATTTAGGCAAATGCGGTGGTATGAGGGCTATCCGAACACCGGGATACCTAGTGCGAATTTTGCAGACGCAGTTCTCGGATTGCGATTTTTTTCGTCCTAAGTAGAGCTGGGAATAGTATTTTCCTGTGGATTTTTTCATATTCTCATTCCCCTAAAACAAAGGAGTGGTTGTACTGGTCAGTACTCAATGTACAGCTCGACCAAGTTGGTGTGAGAAGCAGATGCCTAGCGGGTCCGTCCGGTGTGCTTAGAACTTGGATCAGAGGAGCAATGTCTATACGAGCCCCTTCCCACTTCATTTGGCCCACTTCAAGATTTGTGCCAAAATATGCCTTTATAAACTAAACATGACGAAACTATTTACTTCTAAAACAATTTATTTTCTCAAAAACATTTTAGATGGAGTCGTAAAAAATACATATTTGAAATCACTTAGACCTATAACTAATAGAACATCTGAACGAATAAACAATGTGCGAATAAATGCGCGAAGTTAACAAAGCAACAATTGAAAGATTACCATTGGGTAACATCACCTTTATTTTTTATTACGGCTGAAATTCTTTGGGGCATAGTGTTAACCAAGTTTTGGCAAAAATTTGATGTAAAACAATCCCATATTTCTTGGAGCTTTTGTCTCAGTTCGGTGATTGTACGAGCAGGATGTTGTCGTAGAACCTTTTTCATCTCGTGCCACAAAGTTTCAATAGGTGACAGATCTGGACTGCTAGAAACCCGTTTCAAAAGTGGTACATTATTTTCTTCCATCCATTTTATAGCCTTTTTTGAGGTATGGCACGCTGCACCATCTTGCTGAAACACAAAATCTTGGCCGGATGTCAAACATTCTTCCATCACTGGTAAAAGCGATTCTTCTAAAATTGCCAAATATTTGTTTGTATCCACATTTCCATCAATAAAATGAAGTTTTCCTACTCCTTTTGATGACATACTGCCCCAGACCATAATGGATGCTGGAAATTTCACTTTTCTCTTCAGACACATGGAATGCTTCATTTTTTTGCGAATAACTACTACGACTGTCACCAACACAAACTTCGAATCGGGCCTCATCACTCCATTGTATTGCACACCATTGTTGATTGCCGATTTTTCTTTTGCAGTGGAGTTAATAATGGCTTTTCTTTGGCCTAAATCCCAGTTTGTGGGCCTCTCTATGAGTTGTGGACCTCGAAATTCTCCTTCCAACAGCGTCACTCCACAGAGCACTTAATTGTAAATAATTGGCACGCCTGTTTTTCACGATTATTCTTCTTAATGCTCTTCGGTCGGCATTTGTGATATTACTTTTTTCACATATCGTGGCTAAATATTAACTGAACCAGTTACGTTATATCTTCTAACAATATTTCTCACACTGTACCGCGATAAGTCTAACAAAGTTGCAATTTCTGAGTTTGATTTCCCAGAATTAAATTAATTATCAGTAACCGAATTTTCTCACTAATAACCTTTCCTCTACCCATTTTGAAAACCTTAACTACCCAAAACTATTTTAAACGTATTCTGACAGCTGTGATTAATAAAAACAATTGTGATGGCTTTTATTTTTCACAGCCACCTATGCGTTATAGAATTATTTTGCATTGAAATGAAAATAGGTTGATATGCTGTAATTGCAACATGAGTTATTTTTATGCTGCAAATTTGATTAGCGAGTGATAAAGTTGGTGTTTTCTACTATATATTATAAAAATATTCATTGATAATATTTTAAACCTATAACACCCTGCTACATTTTTATTATTTGTGTTTGATAAGAATAAAACTAAGATTTCAATAGTTGGGCCAACTGAAGTGGGAAGTGGCTCGTATTGGTCGATAAGTTTTGTATACTTGAACTTTGAACGAGATGCAATTACCTACAATTATTCTAGAAACATTCCTCATGCTAGTGACAAACAATTAAAATAATGTTCCATTTTTTTTCTCACTTCATTCTGTTAACAAATAGCGGTCTAATTTTCCACGGACTCTTCAACTAATATGAAAAGCTATTGTTAGTAAAATCAGGTTTCGTCCGAAATTACACATATATTTTTTTCCTAAGGTCAACGACATTTAAACATAAAAGAACGCTACTGTTTCAGTAGTAATTACTTGTCAACAAGAAGTTGGTAACGACACAGATAATTGTTTATAATTATTTTAAAACTACTTTCTTCGTTCAGTTTACAGTTTTGTGTGAATCACCTAAACAGATATATGGGTTCGTTGATGCTTTATACCCACTTATCTATCACGGCATAAAAGATTTTTCAAAATTACAGTACCCAAACGATATCCGATCTGAAGAATATGAACTAAATTTAATTTTTGATGGCAAGTTGATTGGTTGAAATTTAAATCAAGAATTCCGGATTGCGATGCTGTTTCTGATTTTTCTAATATCCACTGCAAGTATATCAACGGTTCTAAGATTTCATTGTTAATAAACTGATATCACTACACTTGAGATACAGTCAATCTGCTAACACTACTTTTTTGTAGCATTTTTACTAACAAGGAGACGGCAAGGGTGTGAGGTAATCACAGTGAGTTTTTGGGTGTAATGCGTACTTAGTGAGAGTGCTTACACACTTGAGTTGTCGAGAAAAAAATTGTATAGGTTTTTTTCTAAAAAATATAATACGTTTTGGTCCTTTTTACTTCCTATGCCAAAACTGGCGAGGATGTGTGATCGCGAAAAATTTCGAAATTGAGTTATGTTGGGTGTTATATGACGAATCATCATGTGACTCATTTCCGTCGGTCTGTCTGTCGCTCGGTCTTAACACTTCCACACAATGTTACTACTATGCCAAGGATGAAACAACTTTGTAGTTTTTGAAAATCAGTCTAGTTTTGGCAGAGAAACAGACCTAAAACGAAAAAAAAATTGCCCAAAATTCGTGTTTTCGAGACGTTTTAGAGGGTACTGATCATTTCAGAAAAATGGTTGTAGGAGTTGAAATTCTGGGGACATCGTCACATGGTCGGTAACTACCAGTGGGGCATGGAAAGATTGCCTATGGGCTAATTGTGGGCCTGTTTGACTGACTTGATACGTTTAATTTCTCTGTTCTTCATGTTCGCAATTTCGCATTTTCTCAGAGGATTTAAATTACGCTAAACTTAATCCTTTGTGAACTTACGACGGCGAAGTGCAGAGTCAACCCACTTGACGCCATTTTGCCCATGTATTTACATTACTGAACAGACTAAAAACATTGAAAAAAAATCGTATGTATTAAAAAAAAGATTTTGTAGTATGAAAATATGCCATTCCATTTGAGGTTTGTTCGTTGGACCTGATCTTAGTTCCGTTATTTTGCCTGTACACAAAGATTCAAACATTAAAAAAAGTCTCTAGACTATTCATACCTAAAACTTCCTGGGATTTCGTCAGCACAATTTTGATGTATTTGCAATGTACAAGTTCGTTAGTTTGTTCTTGGGGTTTGCTCTGAATGGACGTGTCTTTTCATTTGTGTCATGTGTAATTTCAAATTGATATCTTTTTGGAAACATGTCGAAAAGCGAAGTGCTTTCAGGCTCCTAAAAAAATCAAAATTGCCCGCAATTGATTGAACAGAATCGGGAAATTAATTTTATTTAAATTAATTAGACATCGAGAAATATTCATGAATGTGAACGTAGTTCGTTTGCAAGAAGAAGGAAAAACCCTTGCACTTGTAAAAAAGCTGTATTTATGTTTTTGAAATAGGCTTAAAAATTTGTGTTTCACTGGTTTCCATGATAAATATCATTCAGGTTCATGTATTTCTGAAGTAAAATGATTGAAATAATAATTCTTAATCTTCTAAATATTATAACTTATATATAAAGTGCATTTGCATTTGATAATATACTTCTTCATAAAAAATGAATGATAATATTCAACTATTAAGAAACTTTGTATTTTGTATGTAATTTCTTTGAATTTCTTCATATAATTTTCAATTATCAAAAAGTCTATAATTTATTAATTGACTGTTTCGATATTGTGAGAGCATTGGGGAAAGGCGTCAAATAATTTTTTTTTCTTTAAAAAATTATATATTTTTTCTCGACAACGGATGAGGGTGTGATTTGAATTCTCCACACCCTTGCCGTCCCCTTGTAGGCTTACTACGCCTTAAAATGCAATGCAATTGAAAAAATCGTATAAATTACTTTGACATCCGAAAATTAGCTATTTCTATGGAACTGAAAATTTGAAAGCGTTAAAATCCTGAATTCGGAGTCTAAGACCTTAGGAAATTAGTTCAATTCCATCGTGAAAGAACATACGCAGGGTGATTGGGAAAATAGTGGCAATATTGCTCGATACATTGAGTACACCAGAAGTAGCATCAATATTTACTAATGACCAGTCCTGGAATGTTCCTTACCGAAACACATTTAGGGCTCAATAAAGTAATTCCTCCTTACTTGCTTTGTCAGTCTCGACTGAGCTCTGAAGCATACGACAAGAGGAATTACAGGAATCAATTCCGATCATCTAGAAGGAATCGATTTAGGTGGTTTCTTTTACCTTGGACTGAGCGTTACAACCGAACGATAAGTCGCAAAATGTTTTATAAATATTGCCTCTGTTTTATGAATCACCCTGTCTAAGCTAAAGACGGTTCATAAATGCCGAAGGTCAGTTTAATACATGTGCATGCCCATTATTGTCGTCTAACCATTAGATTAAACCTTTGTGCTTTCACAAACGGCAGCTTGGTGAATAGAAGAGTGGAGCAAAGGCAAGAGCATAGCATCACCCACACTGAGATAACTCAGAGGTAGGATTTTGACTCATGCTCATTCTGTCCTATAATCGTTCCATTTTCATATTGCTTTATGTTGCGCCTCATTTCATTTTATGTTTGAGGGTATATAGGAAAATAGACGTATCTAAATTTCCTGGTCATTTGAGCTCAAATGAGTCCTTGAAAATGGGAAAACAAAAAAACTTGCTTCCGATCCCAGCTCAAAACTCTTTTGAGGCCGTCATTAATTATAAAATTTTTATTGGTTAAAAAAAGGAGCACGAAAGTTTTTTAGAAAAAAAAGTTATTAATTGCTCTAACAGCGGTTTTGGAAGCAATATCATTAAAACATTTTTTCTACCTTTTCAAAATCGGAAATAGGTCTCAGCTGATTTTGAAATCAGAGCAAGCCATCTTCAATGTCAGTTTTCACTAAATACTCGTATATGAAAATTGAGGAACTCAAATGAGTCGTTGAAAATGGGAAGGCCAAAGTAACCTTGCTTCCGATCCGAGCTCAAAACTAAACCTCTTTTGAAGCCGCTATTAATTATAAAATTTTTATTGGTTGAAAAAAGGAGCACGAAAGTTTTTTCGAAAAAAAATTATTAATTGCCCTAACAGCGGTTTTGGAAGCAATATCAAAAAGATTTTTTCTACCTTTTCAAAATCGGAAATAGGTCTCAGCTATTTTGAAATCAGAGCAAGCCATCGTCAGTTTTCACTAAATACGAGTATAGACATATTAAAATTCTCTGGCCATTTGAGGTCAAATTGAGGAACTCAAATGAGAGAAAATGGGAAAGACAAAAATAACCTTGCTTCCGATCCAAGCTCAAAACTAAACCTCTTTTGAGGCCGTTATTAATTATAAAATTTTTATTGGTTAAAAAAAGTAGAACGAAATTTTTTTCGAAAAAAACTTATCAATTGCCCTAACAGCGGTTTTGGAAGCAATATCATTAAAACATTTTTTCTACTTTTTTAAAATCGAAAATAGGTCTCGGCTGATTTTGAAGTCAGAACAAGCCATCTTCAGTGTCAGTTTTCACTAAATACGAGTATAGGAAAATAGACATATCAAAATTCCCTGGCCATTTGAGGTCAAATTGAGGAACTCAAATAAGTCCTTGAAAATGGGAAAACAAAAAAAACCTTGCTTCCGATCCAAGCTCAAAACTAAACCTCTTTTGAGGTCGTTATTAATAATAAAATTTTTATTGGTTAAAAAAAGGAGCACGAACGTTTTTTCGAAAAAACTTATTAACCGGTTTTGGAAGCAATATCATTAAAATATTTTTTCTACCTTTTCAAAATCGAAAATAGGTCTCAGCTGATTTTGAAGTCAGAGCAAGTCATCTTCAGTGTCAGTTTTCGCTAAATACTCGTATAGGAAAATTGAAATATCAAAATTCCCTGGCCCTTTGAGGTCAAATTGAGGAACTCAAATGAGTCCTTGAAAATGGGAAAACAAAAACCTTGCTTCCGATCCAAGCTCAAAACTAAACCTCTTTTGAGGTCGTTGTTAATTATAAAATTTTTATTGGTTGTAAAAAGGAGCACGAAAGTTTTTTCGAAAAAAAAATATTAATTGCCCTAACAGCGATTTTGGAAGCAATATAATTAAAACATTTTTTCTGCCTTTTCAAAATCGGAAATATGTCTCAGATGATTTTGAAATCACAGCAAGCCATCTTGAGTGTCAGTTTTCACTAAATATGAGTATAGGAGAATAGACATATCAAAATTCCCTGGCCATTTGAAGTCAAATTGAGGAACTCAAACAAGACCTCCTCGAAAATGGGAAAGACAAAAATAACCTTGCTTCCGATCCAAGCTCAAAACTAAACTTCTTTTGAGGCCGTTATTAATTATAAAATTTTTATTGGTTAAAAAAGGGAGCACGAAATTTTTTCGAAAAAAACTTATTGATTGCCCTAACAGCGGTTTTGGAAGCAATATCAAAAAGATTTTTTCTACCTTTTCAAAATCGGAAATAGGTCTCAACTAATTTTGAAGTCATAGCAAGCGATCTTCAGTGTCAGTTTTTCACTTTATACGAGTTTAGGAAAATAGACATATCAAAATTCGCTGGCCATTTGAGGTCAAATTGAGGAACTCAAATGAGTCCTTGTAAATGGGAAAACAAAAAACCAAGCTCAAAGCTAAACCTCTTTTGAGGCCGTTATTAACTATAAAATTTTTATCGGTTTTGGAAGCAATCTCATTAAAACTTTTTTCTACTTTTTTATAATCGGAAATAGGCCTCAGCTGATTTTGAAGTCAGAGCAAGCCATCTTCAATGTCAGTTTCCACTAAATATGCTTCGAAATAATGACTTTGAAACCTGACTTCGGCAATAAAGTTCAGAGTACGAAACTTCTCGAATCACTACTGTTTGTGCCGAGTGTTCAAAGTTGTGCTGCCGTGATCGTGTATATAACCAATATCGCAGTTGTCAATGTCGTCTCTTTTATTATGAGCGGTCTTGATTTGTTCTATATACGGGGTGTGATTAAAAAAGTGCTATGTCTACATCCACTTAAAGCATAGGCTGATTTCTTCCATCCCCTCGCGCTGTAATAGTGTTTTCGTTTTAAGAATTTACAAAAACAAATCAATAAGAGTAGTGATATGAAGAGAAGACAGTTATAAAATTAGAGATAAGAGATGACTCCAAAAACATGGCGTCCCCAAAACAGCTGATGGTGTCTAAACACGGCTGTTCTCATTCAGTCAGAAATAAATGCGTTGTTGCCAGATAGATAATCCTTTTTGGATGAATTCATTGACGCATTATTTGTTTATATTTACTTTTGAATAAATATGGCATTTTATAAATGTTTTACCACAGCTTGGCGACATCGCACAGTGATTTCCGCGAAAAAAGTATCAAGATTTCTAATTTTGTTACTGGTAAACCGATTTTTATGAGCCATACATCATTCGACAGCCAAAGAAATTCTCTTTAAATAATGTTATCAAAAATTGACAAATTGGCATCGCTGTTATTATTTGTAAACCAGTAGTAGTCAGATAGCAGACCGCAAAGTACCCGATGCTGTTACAAAACATTTACGATAGGCTTCCCCACTATAAATGCAGACGACTCCCAAGGTCGTTGAGGGCGACCAGTGCATTAACAGGCATTTCACAAGTGTATTCTCTCGATATAACTACTCTGTTATACTTTTGTTAATATGTTTCATTGATATACTCTTTGGTAAATTTTAACAAAATGTGACTTGTCTATTCGCTTCCAGAGCTAAAATAGTGACTATCTGCTGTATTTGTCGTGCAACATAGATTTCGAACAACGTGCTAATATAAAATTTGGTTTTGAGTTGCAAACAGACCGATCAAGAAACGTTAAAATCAGTGTACGTTGATAATGTAGTGACTATGAAGACTGCTTCAAAAGCGGGAATGAGTCGGTGGAGACCAGCAAAGGTTGGAACGTCCTTCGACCTCAAAAATCAACGAAAAGCTTCAAAAAGTGGCAAAAATGATTCGGTCGAACAGACGATTGACGAATCGACTAAGTTAACATCTCAAGGCATTTTAACCAATAATTTGTAAATGAGATGAGTCAGCGCGAAATTTTTTCCTAGACTTGTAAGCACAAGGATAATTGTGTGTCATTTTGCTTGGAATTGAAGGGTCATTTTGATACAGATGCCAAATTTATAACTGGAGATGCAAGCCGGTTGTATGGCGATGACCCTAAAACAAACATGCAAAGTTTGCAATGGAAAAAGAGTCCTAAAAAGGCATGTCAGTAAAAGTCGGATATTAAGGTCATGCTCATTTTTTTATAGTGAGAGTTCGTTCAAGGTGAATGACTCGTAAAGTTGTTAGGGAGACGATATACGGAGAAGAAAGCCGAAATAGGCCAACACGACAATGTACCGTGCCACACATAGTTCCTGATTCGCGAGTTTTTGGCAAAAAACATGATTTTCTGTCCACATCCGCCTTATTGTCCGGATTTAGCACCATGCGGTTTCTGGCTCCTCCCTAATGACAAAACGCGTTTTGACACCATTCCCATGCATTACTGGCCAAGGATAGTACCTTGAAAGAGATTAATTTAAATTTGAATACGTCCGTAATAAATTATTCACCCTATTTTTCGATCACACCTCGTATTCTATGAAGAGAACAGCATAAAATTAGCATAGTAACTACATCGAATGTAGATCAAACCCAACTCCCGGGAATTATTTCAACAAACAACAACAAGCAATATTCACGCGGGCAAACCAAGCGTCAACAATTCAAGCTACAATCTAGTCTGTGCCATTCCGACTTTTATTAGGTCACCTTGAAATCTGTGTTCGCAATGATCAAGTCCCCACTGACACTGAGATGACTTGACCTTGAAAACAAGATATGGTTGAAATTCATGTTTGGATGTCTTCAGATGTTTCATGGTCTTGAAAACTTGAAAATTTCGGTCTTGGAAACAAGATTATATATTTGAATTCTCATGTACCCTCCATTTGCTTAGATAACAGCGTATGTTAAGATTTTGGTAGCTGATGTTGTAGTTTTGATATCCAAACCTTTGCACTGGTAGCAGTTATTTATGGCTTGGTATATTTTAGTTACACCTACATTTTCTCGCAATTCGTTAGTTTCCTTAACAAATCTGGGTTTGCTTTACTGGTACCTAGGTGGTGGTTTTATAATTAATACTAACATATTCTCAAATATAGAATAAACGGTGTCACAAATTACTAATCATTCTTTAATTAAAAAATACATCTCTTCATGCAGTTTTGAGTTTTTTTCGAGTATGTTTCTACAATAAAAAAATTCCGTTTTTCATAATTTTTTTAATATTTGTATAGGATTGCTAGTTAATTGTTAAAGTTGAGACAAACCATTATCGTTTTTGAAAATAGCATATGGCTTATCTAAGTAAGTGTTTCATGATTCATTGTGTTTTTAGGAGGGTTATACAAGAACAGGGTCCAGATATGCAGCATTACAAGTAAGTCTCATTAGCTTCATAATTATATGGGTGTTTCACAACTTATCCGACAAATTTCAACCACATATGCACTGTTACGAAAGAAGTTGATTACTCAAAAAAAAATTAATAAAAGTCCTACAGAAATCGAGATAATAAAATAATACAGTTTGTAGGTAGCAACGCCTGGACTCTCTGGACGTGATAAGGGTACATTTGGGCCTCATGTGATATGCGCCACGCTGTTGCATGTGACACTTCTGGGACCTATTGGGATAACTGCCTTGTGCTTATTCACGGATTTTCTTCCACAATATCCAAAATTTTGTCTTCGGCATTTAAAACGCGTTGTGAGCGAACCCGACCCCCATCCACTCCACGCCTGGGAGCACAAATTTCCACACGTGCACGTAAAATAATTGAACTAAAAGTTCCGTGATGTGGTATGTGTCTATTCGGAAATCGGTGTGCATACAAACGAGATGTCCACTAACTCCTCATTTGTGTACACATGTGCCATTTTTATTAATAAATAACTACATAAAAACACGGGTTTTTCCAAAGCTTTTGACAAGATCAGTCATCAGATTCCCCTCAAGAAACTTTGCTATCTAGGTTTACAAAATAATTATTTCTTGCTATTAAAATCATATCTATCTAATAGACAACAATATGTGTGTGTAAATAATGTGAGATCGGAAGTATTCACTGCGACTAGCGGTGTGCCGCAGGGATCCAATTTTTGACCTCTTCTATTCTCACTTTATATCAATGATTTGTGTGATTCACTTAATTGCAATAAGCTATTGTTTGCGGATGATTTAAAAATATATACACCTATATATATACATATATATATATCCTTTAATTTCTTTGAGTAGAAGGCAAAGAATTGCAAAAGTACACTCTTATAACTTAAACTCTCAAGCTTTCGAAGATCTATGTCTTCATTGTCTGGAGCTGGAAACAATTATTCACAATAGCAACAAATAACAATTAGGAGAAAAATAGTTACTTACTAAATCGGCGAGATTGTTGCTGAAATTGTTTTTAAACAACAGTGAAGGGAACACATCGTCGACGATTAAAAAAAAAATAAATTTTATTCGTCGACGATGTGTTCCCTTCACTGTTGTTTAAAAACAATTTCAGCAACCATCTCGCCGACTGAGTAAGTAACTATTTTTCTCCTAATTGTTATGTGTTGCTATTGTGAATAATTGTTTCCAGCTCCAGACGACGAAGACATAGATCTTCGAAAGCTTGAGAGTTTAAGTTATAAGAGTGTACTTTTGCAATACTTTGCCTTCTGTATGTGATATTTTTCACTGCAGTGTCTGTGAATTAAATAATAAATCTCGTGCCCATCTATGATGGATTTTGGTTAAATTTTTAATGTTTCTTCTATTTCTGTTTTTTCTTTTTGTTTTTCTAAGATATTTTCATTTTGTGCTGTAACTGCCATGTACGCTATACTACTGCTTTTTGCTCTGTAATGTTGGGCAATAAACGCATTATTATTATTTAACTTCACAAAAATCGACCGTTCTTCATTCAGATCACCCACGATACAGATTAAACCTTATTTACACATTCTTATCAGTACCGAAAGACAATCAATTCCTGGTATTTTGTTTTCGTCAGTTGTTTGGTACAACATTTGATACAATAAATTACTAATGCGTGTTCTAATATCACGACGATGAACCCAAAATACAGATATTTTTTTTCATTTTATTATTGAAACTCAAGTGTATAACTTAATTTCTGTAGGACTTTTATACATTTTTTTTTTGAGAAATCAACTTCTTTCGTAACAGTGCATATGTGGTTAAAATTTGTCGGATAAGTTGTGAAGCACCCTGTAGATGCTATGCTAAGTGTTTGTTATTGTTCATACCTTTTACGTATACCTACTGTTTTTATAGTCATACAGTGATAATAACACACTTCGAAGTTTCTTATTTTTCGGTATTTCAAATATATACTCAGTGATAGGGATGCACCGAGGATATACCCTGTGTCGGGATACTGGGTCCATTTTACCGAGTTGATGGTTGAAAAGTATATCAAGAAAGATTGTTCCGAAAATGTTATGTCAAAATATATGTTAGTTTGAATGTTGGAGCTGCTGAATTCCACGGTGAAAAAAATATACCTTGGTTTTGCAAGTTTGTTCATATGAAAATGCAACACCGACTAGGAGTGCTGTAATTTTTATCACACTTTTGCAAGTTTTAGCCCTGCTGGTAAATTGAAAGTGATTAAAATTTTAACTCGAAATTTCGCCGTCATATGTGCCCAAACAGAATCTGGACTCATCGCTGAAGACGAATGAGTTCCATTCCATATTCCATTCAAGTCTCTCCCTACTCCGTACAAAATTCAATAAATAATTATGAGTGTTGGATTTTATATGTCACTTAGTATTTATTTAAAGGATCAAAACGTCTATAAATATTGTAAATACTGCACGGTTCACTGACAAAAAAATATATAACATTTGAAGGTTCTTTTTTACTAAAAACTGTTTAATTCCAAGTTTTAGTCGTAATACTTGCGAAATACTACAAATAAAAAATATTATTTGTAAAAGAGCATTAAATAGGCTACTTATCAAGATTATTTGCTGATTCAGTCTGGTACATTTTTTTCACAGTAATTAGTCAAACTTTAGTAAAGGTTTTCACATTGAAACAAAATGTAATCATTTTTTTAGCATTCCGTGCTAGCTTTCAATGAAATGCACACTCTGTCATCTCAACCAACTAGTAATGGTAGCCCAGGAAAAAAATCATAAGTTAGAAGTTCTTTATAACCATAACAGGCAAAACAGTGGAAAAAGTAGTGATTTTTGGAAAAAAAGTAGCAATATCTTGAAAACTAGGGTATGTTATGTTGCTTTTATCTAATTGAATTGAAGCCAATATACCTCCCGTGTTATTTCTGGCACACCCTGTATAAGTATATGAAGTTGATAATTAATCAAGCAAGTCATATTATGTCTTCCAGACATCATAATCCACTTGTTTTAGTCGCCAATGTCTACGCAATCTTCGACAATAAGTGTTGCATTTGCATTATTCATGAATCCAAAACGAGGTAAATAGTACTTCGACACCTGAAGGACACGATGTTGTTGTTGGTAGTATCCACACAAGGGATGAACTCACGTTCCAGAAACCCAGTAAACTGTTGACTATGGATATATTATCGACAAGCTTATGAAAATAGCGTGGATTAACGTGCAATAATTAATGTAGATGCAAATCTGGCGCTAGAACTCAAGCCACATGGGGTTATTTTGAGACGAGATTGGAGTTCGTGACCCAAACCGGCCGACATGCCGGAAGCAGACCAAAACAAAAAAACTTAAATTCAATAAATTACAAAAACCCTAGAGTTATGTACACGTCAGTGCGCTTTTTATTTCCCTTTCGCCTCCAAAATCAACATAACCTTGAATTACCATTGTAGAGGTTATAATCAAAGACAAGTAAACAACTACGACTTCTTCGCGCTCGTGTGAAGTGAGTGATTATTTTTTGAATTCTCGAACAACTCGTGCCAGATTCATTCCAGCATTAACATATAAAAAATCGACTTGCCCTTAAATTGACTTTGATTGGCTTATCATGGTTGAGATCACCATGACATCTCGCAACACCTTCCTACAAGGTGTTTTCATGGTATGTTTCTACCAGTATAACAATTTTTGGGTTGAGAACTATAATCGGCGCATTCACCATTTTTCTCAAAAAACGGGCAAAATTCCCCCCCCATATTTCTTAGAAACCACTCGTGGGATTGATTCCAGAAGAGCTTTTGTTCAGACAGGCAAGAAATATGCTGGATTTTTAGGCAAATTTATTTTACCACGCAAAAATATAAGTTTTACTGTTCGTTATTTTATAATATCTTCATACATTGCCATAAGAGTGACAAAAATGCCATTTTATGTAGATATGTTTTATCGTTTTTCATTTTATATTTTATTTTCACAATGCTGTCGTAAATTAAGTATTTATGAATGCCCGCGTACAGGTGTAAACCTTCTGCGAGTACTTATAGCTTAATTACCCTTCATTTTTATTATTGTATTTTTCCCCATTTTATGCAAATGCACGTTTGATTATTGCTTGAGTTGCTCGACAACGCAACATTCGTATGCGTACGTTTTCATTTTATGCTTGGGATTGTTCTAGCTATATGTATTTTAGGATTCCTTGCATAGAATGTTACGTGTTACCTCCCACGCCTTATGGCAGGGAAGTATTGTAATCGGGAAAAATTTCGAAATTGCTTATGTTTTTTGGATGATATGTGACATGTACATCATGAAAAACCATGTCGCTCATTTCTCTGGTCTGTCCGCAAATCCTTGGACTGCCTATAACTTGTAATATACTGCTTGGATTTGCGTGAAATTTTTACATAACGTTATTACTATGCGAAGGACAAAAAAGCTTTTTGAAAAGAGATCCAGGGGCGGCGGAGAAAAAGACCAAAAACAAAAAAAAAATAAAAATCTCTAAAACTGCGTTTTTTGACGTATCAGATCATTTCCAGAAACATTTTTGTATGGGCTAAAAATTGGGGTATGTATTTATGGACGTTGGTATATTGGTAGGCTTCCAATCCCAGTTAGAGATTTAACATATCGGAAGAACGGGAAAAATTAGGAAAAAAACACGTTTTTCCGTTTTTTTCCAGACCATGGGAAAACATGGGAAAATTTAAATATTCTTGATATGCAAGGAAGCTGAAATCCCACCTTTAAAACACTTAAAGCTATTCCTAATTTAATAAAATATTCACTTACCAGAAACCAAAACAAACACTTGGGTCAACAACACTAACAATCTTCAGAACAAACACACTCAATTATTACAGCAAAATTTCACTTTGTATTATTCATTTACTGCGCTTATGATAAGGCTAAATTAAAATGCGTGCTTTAAAATAAACAAGACGTGTCAATATTGAAGAATCTCATTCTCAACTGAACAATTCAGGAATACGGGGATTTACCGAAATGCCGTGTCTCTGTGCGTGATCGGGAATTAACCGAAAGCTGTAGTGGTCGGGGATTCACCGAAAATCGACGGGTATTTACCGAGAACTAATCCTTCAGAGCCGTAGCTTGCGGTTTTGATTCAAATTCTTTCTGTTTCATTTATATTAATGGAAAAATCAGTAACCAGAATACTTTTGTCTTGTATATAACAAATTTCAATTTTTCCGTATTTTTCCTTTTTTTCCTCAATTTTTCCGGAAATTCTAAATCTCAGTAATTCTATGCTCCTTTAGGCATATTTCACCCTTCTTAGTTGCCGCCGTACATTTAATCCAACAGTCGCGTGTCGATACGTGCGACGTGTTACCCCGATGGACGAGCGCTGTACGTTACATGCGAACTGTGTATGGTGAAAACCGATATCGTTATTCACCCGGGGTTAGTTATCGCAACGATCATGTGCGCCTGCAGGAATTTCTCTCAGGGGGACGTCATTTAATTTTCAGTTATACATGTTCGTAGCTAACCTTTTTCTCAGTAGGTCTAAGTCGCACCAAACATAATACTTTACGAACTGAAGACAATTGTTGCATGGGAAATACAGGGTCAACTTACTTGACGTTATTTTTTTTATTGTAAAAAAGCGTCCGATGATGTCAACGGATTGTCGATCATCACCATCGACGACACTGACGGCGTGTGTTTATCATCTGCCTGGAACAGCGCACGGACTCATTTTTCTCACTTTTACTCACTATTTTTGCGGCTACTCCTTGTCCCTCATTTTTCGCCGGTATAGCTCATTATTTCGACATATTTCACAACGCATTGAGTCTTCATGTAGAGCAGTTCTCAGACCTATTTGATGTACTGCCCATTTTGAGAATCAATTTACTTTTACTGTGTCATATGAGTCTAATGCTTATCCTTAATCCCAAATCAGTTCATCCTCCCCCACAATTTTCTCTAGGCTCTTAGCAGTCCCCCATGTTCCGAGCGCCCACAAGGGGCCCATTTTAAGAAAAAATGCTCTAGACAGTTAAAGTCTTCCAACAAGTCGAACAATCTATCATATATTTGATATATCGTGGGAGCTGGCAGCACATCTCTCCCATAGTCAATAGGCTACTTAACAAATGTCTAATTTCATAGAATGAATTAATATTTCTTACAGTATTTGAAAAAGGAAAACGAAATATCTCGATTTTATTTTTTAAAAACTCAGGATGGGCATATAAGTCCAATTTATAAAAAAGTATTTTTAATACGAAACGGGGAAAACACTATCGGCCATGATGTGACGTCCTACAAATTGTAAACAAAGAAACGTCATCCGTATGTCACTCGTCGACTAACGGTGTCTTCTTTCTAAAAAAACTGCTAGCCAACGTAAAGAGTTATCGTTTGAACGTTTTATTAAACAAAACAATCGTGGATGTTGGATTCTTAAAAGCAGAAAGCACACATTTGCCGAAAATTGACACATTGATGGTTGATAATTTTTTTGTTTTCAATCGAGATTTCTGCTCTACTCTACTTCTGTGTAAGTACAGTGCGTCTGATATAATGATAGACGTAAAAGAAAATAATAAGTAATACACTTACATTATCTTCCTTTTCAGAAGTCATTCAAAACAAACCTCTGAATAATTTTATCACATATTGTATTTCTTCTTGCACATTTGCAAGTGAATCGCACGGCGATCATGCTCTAGGTAACGTCTAACTAAAACGAGACCATAAAATCTGCACAGTAAAATGTAAAATACGTCCCGAACATAAGGTATGTTCCAAGCAGTACACATTGTTGAGTATATTTATTTCCCTATGGACTGTAATCCACAGCTTTCTTGGGGTCTTTATCGGTGTGTTTTTACATTATCTGACGATACAATAACGATAATTACTATTTTTTCCATGTGAACTAGTAGAAGTCATGTTTATATGTTTAAAAGTTTGAGAGGTTATGCTGCTGTCAGCTGCTGTTTACAAATTTTATGACGTCACATTAACATGTGCCAAACATGGCGAACAGCGTTTTCGCCTGTCTAAGAAAAATATTTATTTTAATTAAAAGTTTTAAGGTCTTGGTTGTTTCATAGTGTGTATAGGGATGACTATAAAAGAATGTTATCAGTTTCTTGTTTGTCAAAAAATGCAGTTTTTGTGCATTTTTTCTTCTATCGGAACAGATAACAGCACAGCTCTAAAATTGTATATGGATATTCCACTTTTATGGTGGTATGAAGCGTGTGATTACTTGTTTTCGTATCACTTTTTGTCTCTTCAAGAAATCTTTGATTTTCTTCAAAACTCAATTTGCTGCAAAATGAGGTTTCAAGAAAGTGAATGATTTTTAAAAGAGAAAATGTGATGAGAATAAAAGTAATCACTGGCTCCATGCTTTCATAAACATGGAATATTCACATACAATTTAAGGGTTGTACTAATATTTGTTAACAAGTTACGATTGTCATTGTTTTTTAGTCATATCTATACACACCATGAAATAATCAGCTTAAACTACAACCGTTCTGAAAGAAGAAAATATCGCGAGAACGCAAACTACAACCAATTGGTGAACCTGGTGCTTTGAAGTCATTAGTTCAGATATCGCTGATTGCTCGTTAAAATTCTAAATAACGTCCATGCATCATATAGAGTAGGCAATTTGGTATATGAGCACGTGATTTTTATTATAATCTCACGAAATCTGACATGCGAATATGGTGGTTGCCAACGACAACGTCGCTAATGAATTTTAGGCCGCTTTTTTCTTGATTTATTGACTTTAGGATTGTGGTCCATGCACCTAGTTACTGGGATTACATTTTAATCCGCTTTGTTGTTTTGAAATCGGTCCAGTGGTGTTGGTGTGAGGGGGGGGGGGGGGGGTCGAAAAAGAGAGTTAAAATCGCTCAAACTTCGTTTTTTGACTTTCACACACTCCTGGTCATTTTCGGTAACGGGAAAATGAAATGATAAAAATCAGGTGTCGTTACGTCCGACTGTGACCATGACCTTAAAGTCGAGGTCACGTCAATCTTATTTGTGAGAGAACTCCTTGATTTTTCTACCAAAACTGTAGAAAGCAAGAAATTATGTATCGATAAACGTGTAAAATTTTGACATGACCTTGAATGTGATGGTGAAGGTCATCGGTCAAGATCAAGCTCACAAACTGTGCTGTCGAACATTTTTGCTAGAGCAAATTGTTTCTAATCCTTTATTTGACCTTGAAATTGTCTTGAAGGTCATGGTGATGGTCATAGGAATATTTACTTAGTTTTAAGGGCTAATATACGGAGAAGTCTATGATGTGTGAAATATATCTAATAGGTGCGTACAACTACGAAGGCTGGAAGCGAATAAGTGTACTATCATGAAAAAATTGAGATATTATATATATTTCTTGATTTTTTTTTTTCAAAAATGATCAGGATCATCTGAAACGTCAAACAAACGAAATTTCAGCGACTTTTATTCTTTTTGGTTTTTGGCCTCTTTCACTGCCGTCACTGGACCGATTTTCAAAAACTAAAAAGCTTTTGCATCCTTGGCATAGTAGTAACATTGTGTAAAGTATTTTCGAAATCCAAGCGATACTTCTCAAGTTATAGGCGGTTATAGGATTAGTAGACAGACCGACGGAAAAGGGTGATGTGGTTTTTCGCGAGCTATCTACCATGACATCCAAAAAACATATCTCATTTAAGAAATTACTCGCAATTACAATGCGTCTTCGTTCAGTGGCGTAAGAATTAGAAAGAGTTAGTTCCATTAGAAAATATTTTGACCTTGAAATGACAAAGGTTGCACTCAAGGTCACCATCGTTTTGCTCCCTCGAAACCCCACAGCTGTTTGACACTTTTCTTCTAGCACACGTAGTTTTTGAAATATTTAGGTGGAGAGATTAAAATGATCCTTTTTGTCTCCAATTCTTCTCATTGTTAAATATTGTGTTTTTCTTGCCTGACTTTCGGTGGTAATGTGCCTAACCCAATTGTTCACCCTCTGTAGAGGCCCTGATGTGTCGAGTGCCCTGAATGAGACTGTGTACCACCCTCACAGCAATGGCCACTCCGAGCACTCCCCCAACTCTAGCCACATGTCAGTCCACAGCGACGAACCCTTGGTAAGAACCCAGAAACAACAGACAACCCAGCAAGTGACTACCGTCACTAAGGTAGGAAATTGCTTGCCACAATTGCCTTTCGAAGCTCCCCCCATTTTCGAGAAAAATTGCGGCATGTGGCAACTGCGCGGTGTTAATAGGTTTGTTCATACAGGTAATTACGAACTAGCTCAGAATTTTCTGCTCATGCGGAACTGGTTTAGAACTATTTTAGTGGAACAAAATTGACTTGACTTGTCGATAAAATTCAATTAAACCAATTAAAATGTAGAAATGAGAATAATATGATTCATATAAATTCATTAAAATTATGAACACTTGCCCATGCATTTTTCATTTCTTGTTCTTGGAACGCCTACACTTAACTTCAGATCTTCATCGTGATTTGAACATGTTCCGAAGTATTCTTCATCCTAGCTCGTTTTTAAATTATGTGTAATAAATGGTAAAATTCATAATTGACAAAATTACCGCATCTTTATCAAAGCTGATTGATGCCATTTATCGTGAGCAGCATACGTGCTCTAATGCCCTTTGCATCAAATTTTCTCAAAATGGGGAGGACTTTACAGCGATTATTGCCTGCCACTATACTCTTGAATATACTTGTGGTACATAAGTTTTGAGAAAAAAATCTCAACAAAATGACGAAATTTTAATGAAATCTTGAAATTGGTTGGACGGAAACGGATTACCATACCATGATCTCAGTAGGTTGAGACATGTCTTCGATTGGACGATGTTCATGTCTACTTCCAGAATTTTTCTAAAAGTGCGATCCCTCAGTTAATTTAACAAACCTTTCGTTGCAAATTTTTAGATATGCACCGATCCGATAATACGCAAAACATTTTCATACATCACTGAAAGTCGACGTTCTAAATACATGTTCTCTGCTTGTTAGATGGACATTTCACCTGACCGTTCTTTTTGACATCTGAGAAAAATCACTAGTGCGGTGAGTCACTAAGTTGTAAAAAGATAGGCTACTATTATATCGTCCTTTTGATGATGGGCTTTAACAAAGATGAGTAGTTTTGGGTATAAAGTTCGGCGTCGATATCTCCTCCTCGAACTCGATCAACAGTGTGATGAAACGCCAGCCTCAGAAATCTTGCACCAGACTAAAATTCCGCCATTCTTCGCATTTGCTCCAAATTTTACTTCATTTGGACAATTTTCAATAAAGATTCAAAATCAATCATTGTCTTTAATTTCTGAAAGCAATAGCATAAAATACTTTTCATTATTTATTATGGCCACACGATTTCTCACCATATTTTTTAGAGCTGTGCCTAATTGTATTTGGGACACTTCTTTGCTCTTCTCATTATTTCTCGACAAAGTCGTCTGCAGGGTTTTTTACGAAAGCCTTAAACGGCGACCTAGATTTCGACTTGATATTGTAAATCTGTCTTGCGCGTTTTCTACCAGTCGGTTACCCCTGTTTTGTGGCAAAACACGAGGTCTTGCAGTTTTCGGCAAATTAATGCAAGGCATACCCTTCTTCACAGTCTCTTATTCCGTATAAATGGTTGCCCGGATAACATTTTGATCTCTGAACAAGTTTAGAATTTTGAACTTAATTAGTAAAATAATTTGATTTCATTAATGATGATCCACGACTTGTTTACCTGTTTGATGGTAACTAGATCAGACATCAGAATCGTGTAGAAATGTCAGGACAAGCTTTTTCTCAAAACTTTTGCACTATACGTTACGTACCTTGTATACAGACTACGAGAAACCACTGACAAAAAAGCAGTCGTTGCCAGGGATCCCGCACTTTTTATTGATGTTAATGGTAACTACTTCGCGCATGCATACAGGGTGTTATTTAAGTACGTGGCCACACTTCAGGAGGTGATTCTTTGTGTAATTTCATATGAACATAGGTCCAGAAATGCTTCATTTTCAAGATACAGTGTGTCAAACTTTTTTTAAATGGCTTTTTCCTAAATATCATAATAAATTTTCAGTCGTTTTTGTTTAAATTTAACAGTGGCATTAACGGCAGTAAGGGGCTAACTTATCCCCAATTAGGTTCAGTGGCATCCCGGAAAACACCCTAACCAATATCTTTGACAAAAACTTTGTGCGCCACTGACTTTTCAATTTTTCTATTTTTTTTTCAATTTGACCTATTGAAAATACAACTTTTTTGTCTCCCGAGGTTCAACCGGGAAGGGACTTTAGGGTTCGTAGTCTGTATACTTTGCTTGTAGTCTGTTGGACTAGGTGACAATTTAATTTGGAATAAAGGTAGTACGTGAGGTACAGCAGCTGGGCGAACAACCAGGCGAATACATCCCGGTACCACTCGGATCGTATCCGCATCCCTCGCAGTACGTCGACTACATCGAGCAGCCAGCCCATCACATGTATTCACAGTACCACCAACATCCTCATTACCAGGTACTGCTTGCCTTTTCCTTTACACGGTGATACAAAAATCTCTATTAATGTTTTTAGGGTGCATCTGAAAATGACATGAAACAATCTTATAAACATAGCTTCAAAATTGTACAATCTGGTTGAGCTTTTTATACGGGTTTTTCTTCAAATATTCATATCAATATTCTTCCAAAAATGATGGCCTAACAAATACTCAAGAGGGGCAATTCATCTGTAATTGAATACCTACAGGGTTTGTCCGGAAAGTAATAGGACTGACTCGATTAAAAAAAAATTATTGAGCCAATCGTTACAATTATTTAAAAACTTTAAAAATAGGCTCCTTCTGCGTCGATGCAGCGCTGCCAACGCAATGTCCAAGCATTGAAGGCGTCACGGAAGGCATTCTCCGGAATAGCCTTGAGAGCCGCGGTGCGTTGGGATGCCGGTCTTGGTCAGGTAGCTGTTCACAAGAAAGGCGGTGTGAGCCGGGGCGTTGTCGTGGTGCAACTTGCAGTCGGCTGCGATGTCTTGTCGGACCCGACTGACTGTTTGAGCCTCCTGAGCACTTCCACGTAAAACTTAGCGTTGACGGTTTGTCCAGGAGGAAGAAATTCATGGTGGACGATGCCTTTGATGTCAAAAAAGACAATGAGCATCGTTTTCACTTTGGATTTGCTCATTCTTCCCTTTTTTGGGCGAGGAGACGCAGTCGTCTGCCACTCGGAAGATTGCCTCTTTGTCTCGGGATCATACTCAAAGATCCACGACTCGTCACCTGTGATTACGTTATTCAAAAATTGGGGGTCACTTTCACACATGTTCAAATTTTCTTGGCACACTTACACTCGCCACAATTTCTGGTCCCCCCTTTTGGGACCATCTTCGCGCACACCTTGCGCATGTTCAAATGCTGTGTCACAATGCCATGAACCACAGATTTTGGTAAATTTAACATCTGGGCAATTAAACGAATACTTAGTCGACGGTCTGAGTTCGAAACTTTGCGCACACGAGTCACATTATCGGTATTTGTCGAAGTCGAAGGTCTTTCCAGCACGGTCTCCGAAGTACAGTCATGGCGGGAGAAAATGAGTCCTATTACTTTCCGGACAAACCTTGTATAATTGAATATTTTTTTCTTTGCCTTAATGCTGTTTGAACCACGGAAATGTTTTGTATTTTTTTATATTGTTTTCAAGCTTATAGGAACTTGTTACAACCTTTTTATTTTTGGACATTGTTCTAGATATATTGCTACTGTATATTTGTGTGCTATAGCCAATTTTTGTCCTAGGACTATGACCATTACCCCAACCCCTATGGGGCCTACATGGGCTACCCGGCTGGTGCAGAACGACCCCCTACGCCCCCTAGTCCGAGTGAACATAGTGGAGACCCCTCACCGTTACCCCTAACTTCCCAACCCAATACTGCTTATCTGGGCTCGGGATATGATGAGCTTCCAGAACACTATAGGTAAGAAACTTTTCTTTACTCATTTAATTGAAAAAGGTCAAGTCTATACTAATTTTGAACGGCGAACTTTGATTTGAACTTGACCCTCACCTTCGTGGTTATTTCAAGGTCAATTTTGTTCTTTAGACATTAGACATTGGATTTATTGACCTCTCAAGATACAGTGCACATGTGGCATGTAGCTATAGGTACAAATGCATCGAAGGCAGTAATCATGCTTTATAATAAACAATATTCTTAAAATATTATGGCTTCATATGTTGAAATTTAAATGGAAATTCCCTTTTTGGCGGAAAGGTCAAATGCAGGTCGAATATGTGAGTCTATGTAAAATTCCTTAGTAACTTTAAAAAAAGATCTCAATTGTGACCATGGATTCAACCTTGAGCGTCATCTAAGTAATTTCAACGTCAATTTGTTTTTTAATTGCGACCTCCGCTTTAATATCAGCAATTGAAATTTTTTGTTCTCATGTACTAGTATGGCCTTGAATGTGAGACTTAAGAACAAATCCAAGGTCAATATTCCCTAGCCTAACATATTTGGCATTTGACTGTTAGAGATGACCTTGATCTTAGATTTCATTTCATGTTTAGACGTTGAATTTTATGTCATTTCGATTGCTGGTGTCGGACAGGAGGAATTTCACTTAAAAATCATACTTACTTTGGAATAACCTTGAAAGTGAGGCTCAAGGTTGAACCCAAGGTCACCATTGAACTTCTTGGTCAAAGTTAATGAAGACTTAAAGCGATTTTTTGCGTATATTCCTAATAAAAGATAAACTGGCAAAACAAGACAGAAACAAGTCGGAAATCCGATTTAGAACGCCAAATTTGGAAATAAATGAGATTCATATATCTGGCGAGCCTTTCCTCACATGGGTTATGAGTAAGGCCCAGAAGTTGCTTGTAAAGATTAGAGAAGAATTTTCCGACCAGGTACTCTAAGCGCTTTGAATTTGATAACTCCAAGACGCTGAGATACATTAAGTTGTTTATCCAACTTTTTGTCGGCTACTTCGGGCATGCTAACCGAATTATGCAAGAATTGCTGCAAAATTAACGTGTACCTCTACTTTAAATGGATATGTTTTCTGCAGAATGTCTCATTTTCAGTACATCACATTACCGCTTATTTAGGACTACGTACTCGTAGTATAAAAATATAATTCCCAGTAAAGATAAAGTCTTCATTTATTCATTGTTGGTTTGTTGAGTTTGCACTACTAGATAATTCTAGAAAATTTTGAGAATCTTGATAACCGCTACTAGTATGAAACTGGAAATACAACAGAATTGTCTGAATGAAGGTTGCTGGTTGATGAATTTTATATTAGAAATACTGGGTGCGCCATCTAATACTTTTTCTTTTACCTATAAGTTTATGCGTTACCATGTGAGTCAAAAGTCATGTGTTATGCATAAATGAACTGTCAAAGGTATGCCATTTATAGTCATGGATTCGTTTACAACACAACAACGCATTTTGGTTATCCAAACTTATTACGAAAACGGTCGAAATATAAAAAATACTTTTCGCAAACTTCGCACTAGTTTTAGCCGACATGGACGCCCTACAGAGCCTGGAATTCGTTGGATCGTTTGGAGGAAACTGGTTCAGCTGAAGGTCGTAGACCATACCAACATGCTCGTCCAGCTCGTACTCGTGAAAACATTGCCGCAGTGAGTGAAAATGTGCGAGAAGATCCAACCACCTCGACTAGGCACCGTTCGCAGCAATTGGGAATTAGTTAGACCACTTTACGCCGGATTTTACACATTGATTTACACCTCCATCAATACAAAATCCAACTAACACAAGACCATCAACAGCGGCGTGTTTTTGTTAATTGGATGCTGGAAAGAGAAGACGGATTTTCGGCCAAAGTGCTATTTTCTGATGAGGCTCATTTTCACCTCAATTGGTACGTAAATAAGCAAAATTGCAGATTCTGAGGGGCTGAAAATCCACACCAATATCATGAACAACCTCTCAATCCTGTTTGGTGCGGATTATGGGCTGGTGGCATCGTTGGACCATTCTTCTTTGAATATGCCGAAGAAAAGGCCATTACAATCGCCTTATTGCACACGAAATTTCAAGACCGCATAATTTCACGAAATTCAGATGTCAGTTGGCCCCCCGAGATCGTGCGATTTAACACCTCTTGACTATTTTCTTTGGGGATTTTTGAAAGGAAAAGTATATGCGAATGGTCCCCGGACAATTCAACACCTAAAGCGCAATCCTCGGACTGAAATTGTGGCCATAGACCCGATTATTCTGGGAAAAGTCATTGAAAATTTTGATGTTCGGATGTTGGCCTGTAAACGACGCCGCGGTGGTCACATGACTGATGTTATTTTTCATACATAAATGGCATAGACCAACCTTCATTTATCAATAAAAAAATTCGATTTCACCTCGTAAAAAGCGTGTTGATTTTTCAAATAGAAAAAAGTTATAGATGACGCACCCTGTATGTATAGAAGTATATCCTCTTTACAAAGCTCCATGTACATGTTATACTGCATATATTTGACGGTGTAAAGTGGAAGCTTTGTTTTAAATATACGACACAACATGGCTTTCTTCTTTTGTTCAAGATTTGTTATTCTAGCATAACGAAATCTCACCATTCATCTAAAATGCAAAATGTTAAAATCTCGGCTGTACGTGATAACAACCGCAATTTTACAACATGCGTAGTCCTTTTAGATAAACAATAACTGAGATATTAGTCACTGTTGGAATGATTACACCAGGCTTTATCGTTTTATGGTAAAGTCTGACTCGATGTGGAAAAATCACAGGTATAACAGATAAGAAATTGATAAGCATTCTAGTCGATCAGTTGGTAATCATTTGGTCATCGTGCCGTGTAGTTTTGATTGTTGTGCAGAAGTGACGTTTACATCGTGTGGTGTTTGTATCTGCTATGATGAAACATAGGTAATATGGTTATGCTTTCCATAAAATAGGCATCTCTGTAATCGTAGAAACGCTCTAATTCTAGGAACTATTTTTTATCGTTTTATGTTTACTGATCACTGATTTTAATAGAAGAGTGCGTTTCAGGTCATGTTTTTATGTATCGGCAAAAGTATCAGTGTCTATAAGCGGGGCTTTCGGCGCTGAAACTAAATTTCATAAGTATGAAATTTTTGCATTTAAAGATAGTATTAATGCATTAATTTTTTTAGTCTGAATATGAGGTTGCTAACATGATCCGGTAGAGGGGGTGCTTATCGAAAAGCACTGTATAAAAAAACTTAAAAGAACCCATTAAAATAAAGCTTGATGAACTAGTATTCTTGAAAGCAATCATATCACTGTGACACTATTCATTGGCCAATTTCTCTCGAACTAAATGGCATTGAACGAAATGCTGGTAAGATATTTGGGATGTCAAGACTTTTTCGACGAAATCCGTGTTCCTGTCCTTGTTAGTTAAATATTCGAAGATCGGTGAATTTTGTACAAAAAATCCAAAATTGCGAATGCAGTAATTTCATAGAAACAATGAACTTGAAAGGAGGGGGCTCAATTCCTAGGAGTGAGCTCTCCAGAGCATCCTGATCAAAAGTACTCATGAGCTCTTAACAGTCCTATGAAGCGTTTTCATATTGATATTAAAATAAAAAAATATCAAAGAAAACTATTTATGGTATCCGAGTGCACATTTCTGAAATACCCACAATTATACAGGGTGTCCCAATTTTGTCCCCTATTCCAAAAAAAATTTGTTCAACTAGAAGGCCGCACTTTTTATCACACACTCGGATAGACCCTTTTAAAAGAAGATTTGTGTAACCCATTTATGGGTTTTGATTATTAGTTATTTGGCTTTTGGGTAATTTATTTAAAAAAACACCCAAGTTTCACAACCTGCATTTCAGCTGTCTTGAAAAGTGATGTACATAACGGCAATAAACATTTGATTACAGGGTGACTCCATCCCCTGGGGGCCCAGTAGGCATCGACCCTTATCCAGATGACCCCGCAGTAGTTTACGGCTATGTATCTCCTTCTCCCTATGGTACTGCCCCTAGCTTGTCACGTCCATACGTCGATACCCTTAATGGACCTGTACCTGTTGGAGCTCCTATGCGGATGTTCGAGGAGGAAGACATCTCTAAACACATCAGCAAAATGTCGCTACATGGTCAACATGTTGGACTTCCGCATGACGCAAGGTCAGTTCTACTTCGTTTACCTCGCGATGTTCTTTGAGGATTCAATGTAGTTTGAGGATGATCTATCGTTGGATTCCAAACAGACTTTAACGCGTGTATATTTCCATTTCACAGTAGGCTGTAACAGTTGTTTCAAAATTTGGAAAATCAAAATTCTCGAAACGAAACGAATTTCGACAAATCAAGATCAACTATCAAAATTTTCAAGATATTGGAAATGTGTAAGTTTAAAAAATTTGACGATTTTGAGAATTTAAAAAAATTGACAATTTTGAAAATTAAAAAAATGGAAATCTTTTGAAAAGTTTTAAGATTTTTCCAAATATATATTTTTTTAGTTTTGGCAGTTTTGAAAATGTGTCAAAAACGCACAACTTTAAAATTTTTTTTCTAAATTTTAACAATCCATGATGACAATCGTTACAGCCTATGGTGAATTCCGAATCTTAGATCTTCCTTTGAACGGTCCTCAAGGAAGCATTACTGTTTAAATTCAAAATTCAAGGAGAGATAATTCCTTAAAGGCACTGAAATCGATAAAACAGCAATGCAAAAAAATGGAATTAATTTGACAAGAAAATTCATGTACTGGCCTGCCAGTTATTGCTTATAACTAATGTTCGATATTGTCGTCGTTTGCTTCAAGTTTGCTTACTTGTTCAATTTGCAACATTTGGGGCTGTCATCTTCTGCGGTGCTCACCTCGACGTTCCTACAAGTGGCGTTATTAAAACAAACTTAGCTGCGCGGGAAAACGATATGAATACACTTGCGCGAAGCATCGGCAGCATCTTGAAGACACCTTAAACCTATCGATAATGTCGTTATTTTCAAATTCGATTTATTAACAAATACTCAGACAGACTGACGGAAATGAGTGACATGGTTTTTCGTGATGTACGAGGGCGGTTCAGTAAGTACCCGTGTTAGAAATGAAGACACCATTAAAAAAAATATTTTTCGACATAGTCCCCTTTTAGAAAGATACAATTTTCCCAACGTTCCTGCCATTTTTTTCAAAAAATAGGATTTGTCGAACTTTCCAAAATACGTCTCCGTCTCGGCGATGACTCCGTCGTTTGAGCAAAATTTTTTGCGGCAGCACTTCATAACGCATTTGATGCAGTTTGGCGGCGACAACTCCGGATGAATGTGCTGATGCGTTATCGTGGTGAAACAGCAGTTTCTTTTTCGCCAAATGTGGCCGTGTCTCCTTCAGTTATTTGTCGAAGCGGTCCAATAACGCACTGTAGTATTTTCCAGTGATCGTTTTTCTAAAAAATCCATGAGGATGACGTCGTTCGCAATCGTCGCCATGACCTTTCCGGTCGAAAGGATTGCTTCGCCTTCTTTGGAGCAGATTCACCGGTGAGAAATCCATTGTTTTGATTGTTGCTTAGTTTCTGGTGTGTAATGATGAATCCAGGTTCGATCAACGGTGGCAAGTCGACGCAAAAACTCCTTCGAATTTCGCTTAAATTGCTCCAAACACTGCTTCGAAGTTAACAGCCACATCCGCCTGTTGCGGCACCCATCGGGCCGACAATTTTTTCATCTCCAACTTATCATGTAAAATATTCATTGCCGTTCCGGTCGACGCACCTCCGACCTCTGCTACTTCGCGCAATTTCGTTCGTCGATCAGCGAGAATCATGTCGTGGACTTTTTGAAGGAATTCCTCGGTACCCACGTCTGCCGGCCGTCCTGGTCGTTCCACATCAAAAACGTATGTTTGCCCATGTTTAAATTTGTTGAACCAATATATGACTGTGGTCATAGATAGCGAAGTGTCCCCATAAACAGTATCCAACTCTGCTTTTACCTCCTCGCATTTTTTCCCATCCAAAAACAAAAAGCGAATTACCGAACGATACCGCTCTTTTTCCATCTTAGCGAAAATCACGAAACACATGTTACTCGAATGGCTGCCAAATCCAAACTAACCTATCAATCAGTCTGAAATTTGTTGTGCCGTCGTTTGATAGATGGCAGCACACGATGAACATCTAAAAACACAATTACAATGCATACCTACTTCTTAGCGTGTGGCGTGGGGAATGAAATGATTTATTTACCTTTAGGGCACACAACATTGCCTCACCTGGCAGCATCGGAGGGGAAGATGACCAGCGAGGCATGCGTTGGCGCGATCCTAACCTCACTGAGGTCATTGGCTTCCTCAACAACCCCAATAATGTCATTAAAGCCAATGCTGCAGCTTACCTCCAACATTTATGCTACATGGATGACCCCAACAAACAGAAGACCAGAGCCCTTGGCGGTATTCCCCCGTTGGTCAAACTCCTGAGTCACGACAGCATCGAAGTATACAGGTAGGGATGTAAAATGTATTCCGATACTCTGTATTTAGATATTTCGATACGTTTCTTTCTCAGATGATGAAATTTTTTACAACCTTTTTATACTTACTACAGTTGGTTGGAATTCATAGAAGTGTTCCGAGTGATGATTTTTTGTTATGTTGCTCAATGTTATTTGTTGAAATAATCGCTTGGGGACTTGATTGCACGATGGTACCGTGGTGAGTGCGTACGGGGCGGCGTGGTGTAACTAAAACGCGATTGGAGATACCTTACTGATCCGGTTTGTTTTCGTATAAAGGTTACAAATATAGATATTCAATACAAATTTTCCGATTATAGGAACGCGTGTGGCGCATTGAGGAACCTTTCTTACGGTAGACAGAACGATGAAAATAAGAGGGCCATCAAGAACGCTGGAGGAATCCCGGCTTTGATCAGCTTGCTCAGGCGATCCAACGAATCCGAGATTAAAGAGTTGGTTACAGGTGTCATATGGAATATGTCATCATGCGAAGATCTCAAAAAGAACATTATTGATGATGGAGTGCAGATGATTGTGACGTATATTATCATTCCACATTCTGGATGGGATGCACAAGGTAATATTTCCGTAAATTGTGTGTAATGGCCTATAATTCTAATCTTGTTCTCTTATTGACACATCTTAAAGTAGTTTTCTTTGTGTTGTGGGGTAATTTCGTTTTTCAGATTGTAGTTATCTAGAGGTAATTTTTACAGGTAATCACGGAGAAACATGTTGGTCAACGGTGTTCAGGAACGCATCTGGTGTACTGAGAAACGTCAGTTCTGCTGGAGAATATGCTAGGAAAAAATTGAGGGAGTGTGACGGTCTAGTGGATTCGTTGTTATTCGTCGTGCGCTGTGCCATAGATAAATCGAATATAGGCAATAAGATTGTAGAAAATTGTGTATGCATACTACGCAACTTGTCATACCGTTGTCAAGAAGTAGAAGATCCGAATTATGATAAGAATCCCTTACCTACACAAAGTCGAGTTGCAGCTAATTCTTCCAAAGGTATGTAATTTTCAGTTCGGAGCTAACCCACTACGTGATTTTATAATCAACTGCATTTTGGCAATTATTTTGTTTTGTCTTTAGGAGAAAACTTGGGTTGCTTTGGAGGAAGTAAAAAGAAGAAAGACTCGCAGAGCTCTGAGAATAAAGATAGTAATTTCACTGGCTCAACTTCTGGTACTTCCAGTGCGGCAGCTAGAGGAGAACAGGTACTCACAGATTTGCCCCGAAAAAGTTTTTTCAAACTTGACCATATTTTTTCATTTTAGGTGCGAGGCATGGAGCTCCTATGGCAACCAGAAGTAGTCCAATCTTATCTGGCGCTCCTACAAAGCTGTTCCAACCCTGAAACCCTAGAAGCCGCAGCAGGGGCCCTCCAAAACCTAGCCGCCTGTTATTGGCAGCCTAGTATAGAAATTAGGGCGGCTGTGAGAAAAGAAAAAGGCCTGCCCATTTTGGTGGAGCTGTTGCGCATGGAGGTCGATAGAGTTGTCTGTGCAGTGGCTACAGCCCTTAGGAATTTAGCTATTGATCAGCGTAACAAAGAACTGATAGGTAAGGATCACTCAACAGCGCTTAGCGTATGCGATCTCATTTCACTCTGTCAGCATGGCATCTAACAGAAAGCAGTTTGATTCATACAATGGCTACAACTATTATGAATATTCATGCACATCGGGGGTGCCGCAAGGCTCAAATCTTGGTCCATTACCTTTCACATAATTTATGAATGATATGTGATACGCTTAGTTGTAATAAACTTCTTCATGCTGGCGAATTGAAATTGGATAATGTTCAGACTTGGTCTCAAGTAAACAAACTTGCTTTGAATGTCCTTCACGTTTTGAAAGGCGGGTCTCGCCTAGTAAGACTTTTTGTGTTCCTTTCACAATGCTCCATTTTTATAGGATAATTTTATACAAGGTACAACCCGACCTTAAGCCTCATTTTAATATTGAGTCTCTATGTTCTCTTCTAGGAAAATATGCAATGAGGGACCTAGTACAAAAGCTGCCCTCTGGTAACCCTCAACATGATCAAGGCACCTCTGACGACACGATAGCAGCTGTACTGGCAACGTTGAATGAGGTGATTAAGAAAAATGCAGAGTTTTCCAGGTCTCTATTGGAGGCCGGTGGAGTAGAAAGACTGATGACTATTACTAGGCAACGACAGAAATACACCCCTAGGGTGCTCAAATTCGCTGGACAGGTCAGTAATTATATAGATAGTCTGAGAAAATACCATCCCTTGAGTTATAAGCAAAAATGATATGACTTGAGCTGAATGCGGAAATCTGCTCCAATTAGAGAACAATCACAATATAATATATATATATATATATATATATATATATATATATATATTTACATCTCCATGTGGATCGGTAATCCTTTCAATTCCCAGCAATAAGTCACCTACCAGAAATATCGAATATATATCAAATTTGATTCGTGTATATCCAACAAAAAGGCAAACTGATCCAGGATCAGCTCAAAAAACTGTACATTAACATTTCGGATTTTCATATAAAGTCCGCTATATAGGTCTACCTTTTAAAAACCGTAAGATGTGTCCTCTACCGGAATACCCTTCAGATCACAAAACGGCATTCGGTCCCCCAGAATACTCAAATTAACTAAACACCAGTAGATAAGTCATCCGTGCAGTGGTGCCAAGTTTCATTTATTTCTCTTTACATAATACTACTGAAGTCTCCTAACTTGGACTTGTATTATTATATTATTTTTCAAGGATCTCCAATGGATATAACCAAAATTCTTTCCAGCAACTTTGAGTACACTATTTGCTCGATTAAGACTATACAAAACGTTGCTAGCATACGACAGAAGGATGCCCAACGTTTCGTAAATTATAACTTACCTATGCAAAAATTATCAGATCATCGAGCAGCCCACACAATCAAGAATACTTTTTTCTATTACATGTCCAGGAGGTTGTATGAACTTTCAGATCGAGCACTTTGCTTTTCCAATAGCCTATGTCGTATCGACGACATCCTAATGATGATAAGCTTTAGACGCGTAATTTCCAAATCTGTGATATTAGCAGTTGAAATACTTCCCTGCCCTCCGGTTCGCAAAAAACAGCATTGAGTATCCTAAAATACTTGAATTACCTAATCACTATACTGAGCCTTACAATCATGTGACGTTATCTTTGGATAAGGAAATCACCATTCATGTTTGGTACCATCTATCTATGAGAATATTCCTAATCTTGAAATAAAATCGTATATCAACGATTTTCTCTAATAGCTCAGACTTAACCATATAGTCACGCCAACCAAAAGCCATATGATACAATCGTCCATCAAAATACCTTCGGATTCACAAAAAAACAGCACTGAGTCTCCCAAAATACTTGAATTTACTAAACCCTGCTAGATCGGTCTTCCGTGCAGAATAAATACACTTCTACCCTACGATTCACAAGAAACCAGCACTGAGTCTCCCAAAATACTTGAATTTACTAAACACTGCTAGATCGGTCTTCCATGCAGAATACTCTTCTACCATACGATTCACAAGAAACCAGCACTGAGTCTCCCAAAATACTCGAATTAACTAAACACTGGTGGATCAATCTCCCATGAAGAATACTCTTCAATACGCAAACCAGTGCTGAGTCCTCCACAATACCCGAACTAGCTGAATGGCGTACGTCTGACGTCAGATCGGTCTCCCGATCATTTTAATTCCAGTCAATAAAGCGCGTGCGCCCGGGGATAGGGTTTGTCGGTTTGTCTAAGATCTGAGAATTCATTTTATTGGCACCAATCGTGCTGGAAGGACGTTCAAATCTGTTGTGTATTCAAGAGTGTGTCTGAAAGGACTGTTGAGGTAAGTATGACTTTTTGAACTCTTATGCAATCGTTAATAGGATATGATGGTAATATGACTGTATTACTTACATTTAATGGAAAAGCAATGAATATTGAGTAGCGTGAAGGATAAAACAATGCTGTTCAAAAGGTCAACCCCCATAAATTTTACGCCAAACTTTATCTAATCTTGTTGGTTTAGTTTTGTATAGGTGATTCTTGAATGTAAAGCTACAATGTTTTTTTTTTCAAGTTAAAGAACAGGGTCAAGTAGATTGAGTGTGACCATACATCACTGAAAATTTAAAAATAGAATACTTCAATCAAAGCTCATTTTGGCTTTTTTCTAGCTGCTGCTTTACATCTTTTTTAGGGTACATACCTGTATATGTACTGATTCCGTTTTTTGCATTATAATACAAAATCACTACAGACTGTGCTTTTGACTCACGGTGTCAAGTAGCTCGACTTTATATGTAGACAATGATAATTTTAAACGGGAGATTGTGTTGATTATTTCCTATATGGTACAGTAGCGGGGTGATAAAATTCTAAATCTAAAATTGCAAATCAGAGATATCATGTTTTACTTCCCACGTCAACGGTCGAGGAAGTATTGTAATCGCAAGATATTTTGAAAGTGAGGTATTATGTTTTGTTGGATGCTATATGACATGTAGATCACGGAAAACCATGATACTCATTTCTGCTATAACGTGGAAAGTACCATTGGGACTTTGATGAAATTTAGACACAAGGTTGCTACGAGGCTATGGACAAGAAAGCTTTAGCTTTTAAAAATAGGTCCAGTGGCGTCAGAGAAAAGGGCCACAAACGAAAAAATAGAAATCGCTCAAACTTTGTTTTTTGACGATTCAGGGGCTCTTGATCATTATCCAAATAAATTTTGAGGGTTAGGAGTTGATGAGGGAGTGAATCGTAATTTCCTAAGGTTTTCTATCGGATCTATTTGACATATCTGACTTTATCAAACATTTGCGTAGAAAACAGGAAATCATACCTATTTCCTGTATCTGTACACTCAAAAATTTCTAGTGTTAATGCATGGATATAGTGTTTAATGATAACACATTACGTATTATTGAGTTTGGTAAAATTTCGAACATCATTCACTGGTATTGCTACTAGAATCAATTAAAAATAAAGTATTTTACTTTGACAATCAACATATACTATTGCTGCACGGAAAAAAATGGCTTGTGGATGTCAGTTCATTGGGAAAAAAGCTAATGACAAAAATTACTCTAATATAATTGGCTTTTTGACATTTTTGAGAGCACTCTTATCAAATATCTTTTCACTAAAAACAAGCATGTTGTATTCTTCCTGAAGATAGTCGATATTGTATATCTATTATTTTTTGGAATGGTATTATTTCTCTAAGTTGAAACGGAATAATTACAAAACAATATATTTGAACTTTTCCAGGGAAAGCCTTTCAATATGAGCAAAAATTGGTTTTGTAACAGAGGTCTATCACCTATCACACAGCATCCAAGAGATGAAGAAAAAGATAAGACTTCTGAAACAGTGATTACTGATTCACGTAAGGTGTCATCTGTGGTTAAACAAAACAGCGACCACAGTGACTGCAACTCGGTAAAACATAAGTATGTTTTTTTTGGTAGAGTTCCCATATTTATGATTTATTCTAGGTAATATCTTCTACATCCCCCAAGATATGCTGTACACCCCCATCATCATCAATATCCGGTTTATCAGAAAATGTTCATTGCAGTAACTTGTGCAAGGACTCTGAGGTAATAATCATTCACTGCCTAGTCTGTGAACTTTTTTATTCTATTGAACCTTTTTCAGTACAACGTTACCTCGAATAACGAGAGCATAGTGGAAGATCCAGACCACCAAAGTGAATCTAGCTCGGTAAAGCAATATTATGTATTCTTTATGAAACATGTCTGATATATGTCATTCATTTCAGTTCATATCTCTTACTTCGCCTAATATATGCTGCACACCACCATCATCTTCTGTAATTTCTGATGCAGAAGATGAAGATTATAGTCCCCACACTAGTGAAGAGGCTGAGGTAAATATATTACTATTATTCTACTCAAGTACCCATTGAAAAATTTGGATTGGGTGGAGTTGTGTAGCCAATCCGATATTTTAATTTTGTAATTTTACAATTTTAATATTTTTCAACTTTCAAATTTTTTGATTTTTCGACTTTCCAATTAATAACTATAACATCTTTTCCATCAAAACGTTGCTATGTGAGGGGAATCTATGATGTTTAGAATGTGTCAAATAGATTGCGAAGAATTACTAGGGATGGAAGTGTATCATTAAACTAAATAAAAAAGAGATATACCCGTCCCACCCTCTACAACCTCCAACTCGCTAATTTTCCACCACAAATTTTTTTCTCAAAAATGATCAGTATCTGAAACAATAAAAAACGAAGTTTATGAGATTTCTTTTTTTGTTTTTAACTTTTTCTCCGCCGGCACTGGAACGCTCTTAAAAACTATATAGGTAGCTTTTCTGTCCCTGGTCTAGTGGTAACCTTCCCCCTCAAGTAATCAAGGACTCGACACAGCAGCAGAGCGGCGGACAGACTGACGGAAATGAGTGATCTACATGTCATATAACATGAAAATACTTTAGAATACTTCCTTGTCAGTTTTCTGATCTTCAGTCCAAGGAACAAGAACCGGTCTTTTTCTTCGGTAACGTTTCATCCACTTGTTGAGATTCCGAATCTGGATGCGGTTCTTGGATTTCTTCATATTGATATAGAGGCTCTGGGTGGTCATTATCCTGCTGCGCTTCTGATATCAAATTCTCGTCCAGATTCAATTCAATTTTTTCTAGGGATTTTTCTTTGAAATGACCTGCCTCGCCCTTGTCTATCAACGTCAAAATCTTGGAGAGTCTAGCCGTTTGGTAGACATCATCTGGTAATCGGTATCATGCACGGTGGATACCTAGTGTATGTCCCATAAAAGATGCGAGTTGTTCCACGTCATTTTCTGACATGTTTAACAATTGGGTCAAAGTTGCTATGACCTTTCTCAGACGGGTGCTAGTCAGGGCATGCGGATTTGTAACCGATGATAGGTTCTTATGAATTGGGTTTACCGAAAAGATTTATGTTCGACACCGTCTGAATATTATCTTTACACTCTAGTTTTAGATTCAAGTGCTCATGTACATCCTTGCTTATAAGAACTGGAACACCTCTGCCTCTTTTTCCACGAATTTCCATTCGTTTGTTAGATCTCATTAGAATTCTCTCGGTTTCCGTTATTGCTTCCGAAAACTCCTTATAGGCTTGATTGTGTTCGTCAGATATAGCGGATTTGTAAACATTTATGGGAAG